TACAATAATATTATAGAATCGTTTCATCTGGCGTTTTTATATTACAAACATTTATTATTGTTTGTGTGTTTTTTTTTTTGTTCAATGACACACACGCGCGCTCCTTTCGAGAACAATCACCACGTGGCATTAGGTAAAATATAGGACATTTGTTCAAGAAAGGATGCGTCTATTCATGTTGATCGACTACTTTCTCTCTCAATGATCAAATATAGATTAATTTATGAAATAATAATAATAACAAAAACCGAGCACAGTTGGACGCTAGTCAGTACGGCATTTACCTGGCGCGAATTGTTTACTGAAATAACAACAACTTCTCTCCTGTCTCGGTCGATCCATTTTTGAATTGAATGGATGTTTTTAGCCTAGCAAAATATTGAATTCATATTGGAAATGTCTAGTGGTCATAGATTGTAACAAAATGATCAAGTAAATAGGTGCTGCTGTTGCTTGTGCCATATAAAAAAAAGCAATGCACAAACTCTGACTTACAATACGAAGAAGGTAACGCTGATGTATGATACACATGTATGAAGCAATAAAGAAATTTCTGCAGGGAACAGCTGCACGATGATCAAGAAAGACGTAAAATCGGCGTTACAATAATATTCATGCTTATTCGTTTCGTTTTATTTGTGCCTAACTTTCAAAGCCATTCACGTAAAAAAAAAACAACAACAAGAGATGATGGACTTCTTTTGGGCAACTACAGCAAGAGTGTGTGTATGTGTTTGCTTGTAGCGCGCTGATATTTATTTGTCGCTGTACACACGCGGTACAGTCAAAGTTGAAAGAAGCTTCGAAACTATAGCTATATGTCTCATATACAGTTTTTCGTTGTTGTTTTTTTTTTATTCGTAATAACCATTTCAATCGAGAAATACAATTCATTTGGGTGTGCACGAACGAGATGCACAGCACACACAAAGGCCAATCGCAATTTGCCATCAAAGTAGTTTACACCTGGCGTTTGGCTGAAAACATAATCGTTCTGTGTACGTTAACATATAGAATATGTGATGGCTCATGATAGCGTGCATTTCTTTCTTTCTTTCTTGTATGTGTATATATTTCGAGATTTCAAACACAAAAAAAGACTCGAAGTGATACCGAATTCAAATATACAACTTCTGTATTCAAAAATATTTCGTACATTCGTAACGCATTGTACGTTTTGTCTCCTTTTTTCAAGTGTTTTTTTTCTTCTTCTTATTTTTTTTTTTTTTTGATCGTCTATCACACAAATCCAATCGCATATGTATTGTAAACTGATAATTTTATTGTTACGTATCAACAGCAGGCTGTTTTTTTGGCCGTTGATCATAAATTCATTCAACAACAACAGAAAAAAATCGCGTATATTTGTTGCATTTATTACGATTTCTTTCATTTTATTTGTATATTTTCATTTCTTCTGTCTTTCCTTTTGCGTCAATGTCAAAAAAAATTTGAAACGCCTCAAAGTTCAAAGTCACCCAAGGAATTGAACGAAAACAGAACAAAATAGTCAAGAATCAGTTGTTTGTTTGTTTGTTTGTTTCCCATTTTTTGGTGAAATTCATGTGAAATCAATGTGAAAGAAAGCAATGCAACGCAGAGACATTTCGCTCTATGCAAACCGACTCCATGCCGGCAACACAGGCCCTTTCTACATCTGATGTTAACGTAAATTTCACACATATTATGAGTATATGTTCGTGAATTTGTTTTGATGATTTGTATCATGAGCCTTAAATTGCGTCAATATCCGCTAAATTTTTCCATTGTGTTCGACAACCGCCTGGTGTATGCTTGCAAATTTCCCTTTATCAACGTTGAGGTAAAGAAGAAAAAAACCTGCGTGAAAGCATCGCAAACAATAAAATGCAATAATTCGTGCAACGAAAACATGACGAGAATGAGAGAGACAGAGAAAAGCCATACACACAAAACGAATTTAAATCGAACAGATGGACTTCATTATTTTTGTTGATCGTTAAAAATTTATTTCGGGCTTTTTACTTCCGACCACATAATTTTCGAAATATCTGTGTTTCGTGCATCAGCAACAGTTGCATTATAATTTTTTTTTATCCACAACCAAACCACAACAAAACACAAAAGTCCGAAAGACGAAAAAAATACACCGAGTGAGAGAGAGAGAGAGAGAGAGAGAATAAATCGACTGATATACAATCGCGCAACAGCGGATACGTTAAATTATGTTTTCTTTTCTCGTTCATATAATCTTTATAACGAAGACAGATTTATACGATGATAGTTTCTCAAGGTGCACACGGTATTTCACTTGCATATCAATAGTCAGAATTTAAGTGGGTGACTAAGTAAAATGTCTCCATTTAATTGATAATCGGTTAGTTGCTTCGTTTGAAAATGCATTTGTTTTTATTTGAAAGCAATTCACACATAAGTGCATCTATCAATCAGAAGGGGTGCGATGATCACCCGTGCACGAGCGGTCAAGAAATAATGTAAGACAATTCATCTTCATGTTATCAGCAATGTGCGTGTGTGTGTGGTGAATGGAGGTACAGGTGGTCAACGTACTGCGGTGTAAATCGATTTACAGTGTCAAAAATGAATATTACATCAAAAGCGATCAAGAATAATTACCGACATTTGTGCAAATTGCCTTCAGCTAAGATGAAACACTGTCGCTAAATCCAATTCAAATCACGTGTGATGCACAATCGCCACCATCAACCGTTGGCTTTGTTTTATTTTTTTTCTCTCGATTTATTCATCAAGCACACATGATATGCGCGTGCGTGCAACTCATTTCCATGTTAAGTTAACTCATATCAATTTAGGTTATAATTTTGGATTTAATTCAAGAAATTAAAATGAGAAGAATGTCATTCATTTGTTAACAGCAGACATACCTCTTGAGCCGCCAAGAAAAGTGCACGAGATTTCCAAGAGGTTTATTTTTATTGTGAAACAGCAGAAGACAATTTATTTATTGCAGAAGAACAGCACATGGCCAAACCGATCGAAAACACACACACACACACAAAATGAGCAGCAACAAAAGCTGAATACCATCATCATCGTCATCATTGTGGGACAGCTGTTGCAAATACAAGTTGCTGGCCTAACTATTATATCTTAGCATTTTGGTTTTTGTTTGCAATTTTCTTTTATTGCCCACTGTCATAGTGCAATGTGTAAAACTTCCCAACGAAATTGGCACGTACCACGCTGACTTTGCACATCGAAATTAATAGCATATATTGAATGAAAATGAATCACATACCACTATGAACTGTGAGCAAGAATCGAAACGACTATTTTTCAAATAAACTGACAGACAAACGTTTAACCAAAGATAAGAAGAAGACAAAACCACGCAACGGAATCGAACATTTTTCTACTTCGATTTTATTCGAGCACCTGCTTTTTGGCATGCGCCACAAATAACGTGTATTAATGAATCCGTTTTTTTTTCACGAAATGCTTTTTTTTCTTCTTTGTTCTTCTTGTACGAAATTGTGGCTAATGGATTGAAACCGTTTATTAATTTTCGTGGAGGAATTATTTATACATGTGGGTCTTAAACCGGGACGTACATACTTTTTTGGCACTACATGAAATATTGAAATGTAGGCTATTGATTTGGTTCGCTTGCTTCACCTTAATTTTAGTATTAATTTAATTATTCGAATTGACGATATTTATCTAATTTATTTTGACCATATTTGAGTGTTGTTTAATTAAAGGTAATTGTCATATTAATATGAGACATGACACTTCCTCGAAACTGAAATAATGATTTTTGTGCATTCACAGTTCTACTATATCTTTTTCGCGATGTGAAAATGATATGCATTCTCAATGTTTCTGCTACAAAATGCCATAGGACAAGTATAGTTGTCAGACATTGAATGGCGCTGTATCTATCCTATAAACATCGAACTAATGAAAATGTGTGGTGGTTCATGTCTTATTTAATATACAATAGTGGAAATTTATCCAATGCACAAACCATTTCTTCTAGTTCCTCTTACATTAGTGTAGGGGGATTCTTCTAAAGTTCAGAGAATGACGTTTGCATATAAATACATGTAAAAGACACTTTTAGGCTCGTCCTATGCAAAATGCGTGATAAATCTTATGTAAAACCATAGGACGAGCCTAAAAGTGTCTTTTACATGTATTTATATGCAAACGTAATTCTCTGAACTTTAGAAGAATCCCCCTACACTAATGTAAGAGGAACTAGAAGAAATGGTGAGGAACTAGAAGAAATGGTTTGTGCATTGGATAAATTTCCACTATTGTATATTAAATAAGACATGAACCACCACACATTTTCATTAGTTCGATGTTTATAGGATAGATACAGCGCCATTCAATGTCTGACAACTATACTTGTCCTATGTGTAAAACGAATTTTATTTGCAGAAAATGATATCGACGACATTCTATATTTGAATCGTTGCGGCAAAATAGTAGCTCTTATTTTTCTCCAAATAATACTGCAACATGACGTATTTTTCACACGGTTTATTTGTTGTAATACAACAAATAAACTATTCATAAAAAACTTTATGTTGCAGTATTATTTGGAGAAAAATAAGAGCTACTCTTTCGCCGCAACGATTCATTTTTGCATTTTTTCGACGTAGTTCCACTATTTTCGAGCTTCAGAACTAAGGTCTTTCCTAAGGATCACACACTAGTTTTCTATTTGGATTTAAAAATAACTATTATAGCATGATATGTTAAATAGAATTCCAGGTTCCCGTATAATTGAGCACGTATTTTATTATTTCGAGAAAACAATAATTTATAGTTAATTAACCATATAAAAATGTATTTGAAATTAAATGTCATTTTGATTTTGCTAGAAAGATATAGATTTTATTTATTTATTTAATGCCAAATATATCGATTCGGAAGCGTGAGCAAGCAAGTCTATTCCTTCATAATTTAAAAGATGACTTTCAATCGATAGAATCGATCAAGCGATAACACAGTTCTTATTCGATGCTTGAAGTTATCAGTATTCAGTTCGATTGAATATTTATTTCAATAAGAAATTTAGTTGTTAGCTTAAAAAAAATGTTCAAACTATTTTGTACATTTATGTTTTTTTTATTGCTGACATCAAAGGTACACAGCGATCCACCTACAATAAGGCAAACAACGAATGGCCCCATTGAAGGTATAGAAGAAACCGGTGTCTTTGGCAAGAAATTTTATGCGTTCAAAGGTGTTCCGTATGCTGAAGTGCCTATAACCGGTATAGATCCATACACTGGTGCTACAGTTGATCGACGATTCAAGGTAATGAGATTCATCAATAATATTAAAGTAAATCTTTATCGCGCTTGTTTTTTTTAAAGCCAACTTCAATATTGACTCGCAAATGGACTGAGCCACTGAAAGTGCATCAATTTGGAGAGAATTGCATTGCTTCATCATATTTAATGGGGCAAGATGGAGGTTATAGTGAAAATTGTCTCTTTCTAAACATCTATGTTCCAGGTATAAGTGATTCGATATCAGTATTATTTTTTTCATTAAAAACGTTATGGGGAGTATTTACATAAAAATCCCGTGGTGGTATTATAGCTGGTGGAGTAGACGAAAAGACAGTTTTAGTATGGATACATGGTGGCTCATTCCTAGAAGGTTCTGGAAGAGAAGTCGCGTACGGGCCAGATTTTCTAGTTGATTTGGATAATATTGTAATAACTATGAATTACCGTCTTGGAATTTTTGGTTTTATGAATCTTGGCTTCGGTGACTACACCGGCAACATGGGATTGAAAGATCAACAATTGGCTCTCAAATGGATTTTTCAAAATATTGAAAATTTTGGTGGAAACAAAGATGAAATTTTACTCTTTGGAGAAAGTGCCGGTGAATATAAATATATGAGTTTTTAAAAATCAAAAAAAAAAAAATTGAAAAATTAATACAGTTAATTTGGTTGAATATAGGTGGTGCGTCTGTTAGTTATCACATGCTTAATGAAAAGTCTAGAAAATATTTCCAACGTGCAATGTCACTTAGTAGCACAGCGTTGAATTATTACTCATTATATGAGCCAAATCATTTAGAAAGAGTGCAAAACTGTACAAATATTCAAGATAAAAATAAATTAATTGAATATCTAAGGAAAGGGGATGCAGGAACTATTGCAGAATGTGGCCAAATGATGAAAATGGAACCAATAAGGTTCGAATCGCCTTGGGTTCCAACAATCGAAAATCCGAAAACGAGAGGAGCTTTCATAACAAAATCTCCAGAAGAGATTTATAAATCTGAGAAGGCACCTATTATGGACACTCTGTTTACATTCAATTCGCAGGTACTCAAATATTGGATCGACTTTCATTTCTAACAATAAGTAAATTTATTAAGTCGTAATATGTCCTCAATAGGAATACTTATTGTTCAATTTGGATCTAACCAGAAAATTTAACCCAATTCTCGATGGAAATTGGAATGAATCGTTATTTTTGTTGGCATTTCGTGGTCTTGATAAAGAAACTTATCCAGAGGTTATCGTCAAAATCAAATCCTCTGAATTGAATATTTTATCGATGAATATTTTTAAAAATATTTTCAGGTATACAGATATTCGTTTGATTTATTGAAAAGATCCTATCTAAAAGATGTTACCAATAACAAAGCAATCATGCGCGGAAATATTAATCTGCTATCTGATATGAATTTCGTTTACCCAATTCTAAAAACCGTTCAATACCAAGTGATAGCGAATAACAAGTATAAGGCCAAAAACACATTTATATTCAGGTATTGCTTTGTATTTTATTCTTTTGTCATTATATCGAATTACATTCTATTCAATTAGATTCAACGTAACCGGCAGCATGAATGTATTCAAGAACTCGATGGTTCTAGACGCAGAAGGTGCGTCTCATGCCGATGAAATTTGCTACATATTCAGATGTCACATTATGAATTCAGTATATAAGAAGAAACTTCGATCAAAAAGTACGTCAAATATTGAATACAAAACAATCAAGCGTTTGACTAAAATGATTACGAATTTTGCAAGAACTGGGTACATTTTAATTTTAAACTTCATTATAATTATTTATCTTGTTAAGTTCTTTATAAACTTCTTCTTCAGCGATCCATCAATTGACGGCGATACATTCAAATCATCGAAATCACCAAATAAACTATTCTGTCTAGATATTGGTGGTAACGAATCGAAATTGCATGCCGACATAATGGAACAAACACGATTCTATCAATGGAAAAAAATCGAAGATTTTTACAAAAATTTCAGAAGCAACGATTCACTAACCGAATTTACCAAAAACTTTAAAATGAATTCGATATGGAAAAATCCATAAAACAAACCAAATTAATATGCCACTCAAAATGTGATGAAAAATGGAAATAATCAATAATAACAACGTACAATTGTACATATTTGTAATTACTGCATGTGTAAGTCAGCTTAAACGCCAACAAATTTTTTTCTCTCTTCAAATAGCTTTTAGATTGATTAACGATGATCGGAAAATTAGAGTATTTTCCGCAACAATTTCAATAATTTCATCGACATTTTTGACCCTCATAAATGTGCAAATACGTTTAAAAAAAGAATTGCAATTGCTAGAGCATATGTGCGTAGAGTACGCTTCGGAGGCGATTCAGGTAGACAAACATCTGGCGTGTGTAATCAATGTTTGTGCAAGTTATTCATCTGACATTGCAAATTTCAAACATGTTTTCTTTCCTTCTTCTTCTTCTTCTTCTGCTTTTCTTCGGTTGGAGATATTTTAAGAAAAAATTAAATTTGAAACAGAGGTGAGGTACGACTTAAAAGAAGAAATGTAAAAATACCCAAAAAAAAAATGTTGAGCGTAGCAAATAATCTAAAATAGCGAACAACAGTCGTAACTAACCAGGTTGCTTCAAAGAAACATTGCAAAAATACAAAACACAAAAAATAAATCCAGAACAAAGCCGATGAAAACAATGGAAAGTTTGCAAAAAAAAAAATATAAAAGAAAGAAACAAAACAACAACAACAACAGCAAAAGAGTCCAGGTTCGTACAGCTCAAAAGGTGGATATGCAAAAATTCTCTGCAAAAATAGTTGCGGAAAAGAGATCGCTCTGTATGAAAAAGAGAAAATCGTTTTGCACAAAGAGCCAAATGGATGGAAGGTATGGTAAAATTCACATATCAGAAGATCTGCCATCAATCGTTAAGTGTAAAGCCCCAAAACAACAGATGAATTCGGGAGAAAGAAACGAACGAGAAGGAATTCACGAAAGACAGAGAGAGAAAGAAATGTGGCAGATGTACGCACAAAAACCTATTTCCCTTTTAACGTACGACATAACAAACTCTTAAAATCTTACAACAAAGCGATTGTATTTTAGCATGATTTCAGTGATGGTTCTCGTTTCTTGGCTTTTGTTTTCAATGTTCGGGTTTCCTTCTTAGATCCTTACATGAAAAAAATATACAGCAGTGCTCATGCATGCATGCACGTGTGTGCGTATATGTGTGCTTCATCTTTGACAATAATAACTTCGACATATATGTATAGATTCTTATTTCAGTTTGAACATGAAAATAGAGGATGAAAAAAAGAAGACGATGAAGACACACTGACGAAGAGAGGCTAATACAATACAAATACTGGCACATTTTGAATACAGATAATTATGAAAGTCGTTTTAGCCTGGATTATGAGTTGCCTTAGTCACTCGTTGTTTGGTTTGGATCTCGTTGAAAAGAAAGGTAAATTGAATCCAAAAAAAATATCGGGCCGAATCATAAAAACCAACCCGGAACCGCCCGGAACCAATAGTATAACTCCCGCTTAAAAATATCATACATGAGCCACGCAAAACAATAACTTTTTTTTCGTTGGGAATATGTGTGTTTCAAAAAAAAAAAATCAATTTTAATGTAAAAACTGTAGCATCATTTGTTTAGCATACATTTTTCAGGCCATTAAAATACAATAAAAATAAATTGCTTCGCATAAATTATTATCCAAATCTACTTTACACACGAAAATTTATTACGCAGTTAACTAACGAGACCCCGTTATCAATTAAACGTATTTAATCGAGATACAATCAATTTTATGATGTGTGTCATTCTCAAGCACACGGTCATTCTTCGAAGTAGAACATAATATTGAAGAATTTGAACTTTTTTACGTGATTTTTTGCCTTTCTGAATGACCGTTTACAATCTCTCTGTTCCCAACCATTTTACAAGTCTATTCAGATTTTTTTTCTAACTAAAAAAAAACTTCTTTTGAATTTCAAGCTAACGTAAACGATAACCATTTGGTTGGATGAGTTGTAGCAAGTCACCGTCTTATTGTGATTTTCTTCATTAAATGCACGTGGTTAGAGCGAATGACGACGATGACACTTCAAGTGATTTTTGTTGTTTAACAATTCATTAATGTGTGCAAAATTGTCTATATGGCCGTTAAAAATCACACGCATGTTTCGGAGAGACATCCACAAACGATTATATATATATTTGTATAATTTTTGAATTTATTGATGCGGAAAGAGTTGTGTTTTTTTTATTCTTTCGTTTTATTTTTAATCTTGATGCCTGATAAATACATGCACACATGTTGATGGCGATGATCAATATAGATTTCGTTGTTGTTTGTGTTTGACAATGTTGGTTGGTCGCAATTCGTAGTTTGTAGTTCTGATTCTCTGGAAATGAGCATATTTTCTTTTGTGCGAAAGAGAAATCCGATCGGTGTGCAATACACCGAAATCAGCATTTATCGTGTATGCTTATGTGATCGTGAATTCGTTTGAAGAGCAACCGATAAATGCGTAAATAAGTAGAGTGAGTTTGAATATTCAATACGATGACTGTATGCGGTGGACGATTTTTGTCCCCATGTATTTGTATTTCCAGCATACCGAAATGACTCATTTTGCTAATGAACGCGTCAATCGAACGAAAGAAATGTGCCAAAGAGTAAGAGAGATGGGCAACTTTTTTGCCGTTTGCTGTTAATTCATTTTGCATGTTTCTACAGTGTTCGTTTCCAACATGTTCTTTCCGCATAAAAGAAGAATGAGTGCTTTCGTTGGTTGTGTGTTGCGATTGTGTCGGATTCTTATGCTACGAACACGCTATGCACTCATACACATCAGTGAATGGTCTCTCTTTCTCTTTCATATCACATCACAGCACCCATTCTCGGGTATGGTTTGTTTGTTTGTTCGGTCGTTCGAAACGCAGAGGAACGTTTCGTCGCTTCTTTCTCTTGACACTGAGTTTTGTGCGCGCGCATCCATCAGTTAAACTTGGTTCATTCACGAGACTGGACATGAAAAAAAGCACTCTCCACTTTACGAAAAGTAATAAAAAAATATTCTTAAACATATTCAAATTGGTCAAACAGTCGTTGAAAATTGAACACGATTTCTTTAAAAGAAATTTTTATAAAAATTTTCGGTGAATTTTTATCTTTATTTTTTTTTGTTTTGCTTCATTTCAAATTCAAAGTGATCGGGATTTCTTTTGTTTTCTTAATATCTGTGAAAGAGTTACTTATTTTGGTCAAATTTTGGTTACGTTTTTATTTTTATTTTTATTTTTAGTCTCTTCGGTGTTGAGATTTAAAATTTATCATTTAAAATAAAAAATTCTTTTTTCGTTTGGTGAGCTCAATTTTGATTTGAATTTTATTTGGCGCGTTATAAATACGAGATAGCATTTCCGGGGCTAAATAAAGAATCATTATTTAATAAATCCAGAAATGAACATGCATTTATTAAACGGGCTGAAACATATCTTTAGACGAACAAATGTATTAAAATTTCGCGGTTTGAACGTTAACATTTTCATTTGGCATCGCAGCAAGCTGTGGCAAGTACGCAAAAACAAAAAACAATCAGAATCGGTCGCATTCGAGTGAGTTGAGATGATGTTGCAATCGACAGACAAACAAGACTTATACACAGTATGAAAAAGAAATGCGTCATACAGCTAAATCAACGGACACCAAGAGAAAACTGCAAAGTGATTTGACGACAGCAGACCAACAGCACAGCACAGCACAGTCGACGTTCTCGCATTAAGTTTTGAGTTCTGTACACAAGAGCAACGTAACGGTTCATTAAATTTTGCTTCACGAAAGAAAGAAGACGCTTTTTTATTCGCCATTATTGGGTAAGTGAACGGCACCAATATATTTATTTTATTTGCAACAATACATATTTGATATTTTTACGTAGTTGAACAAGAAAAATCACAGGAAAAAAATATATAAAACGAACAAATTGAAATGGCACTTTTAAAAATTAAACGAAAATGTTGGCACATTTTTTTCTTGGATTTTTATTAGTTTTTGTTTTTTTTCTTCGCTTTATAATTTATGCATGCAATAGATTAAGATTAGCATTGAAATTGATAATAAAATATTTAACGGTCGGAAAACTAATTGAATTCTAAGTAAATGACACCAAAACGGACAGACAAAAAAAAAACACGATGTACGTCCCATTTTTAGTAAATACATGATTCAAGATTTATCATTTGTAGTTTTATATTTGCTGCGAAAAATAAACATTCATACAGATGTTGAATTTAATAAAAAAAGAAAAAAATACCGAAAATAAGTCGAAGAAAAAGCATGCTAAACCAATATTATTTTGGATTAAAAAACATTTTTTCGTTCGTAAAATTGTTCATTTCGCAAATGTGCAATGCTTTGTTGGTTCAATTGAAGAAAATAAAAACACGGTACGAAAAGTGCTAGAATGAAGAGCCATAAAACATAAAAATGTCGAGACAAAGAAAGAGATGAAAAGTGGATGTATTGGAATGATTTGTAATGTGCAGCAAAGAACCGGCATACATACACGCGCACACTCAACCATACAACGAGTTCAAACTCTGGTTCTTCGATTCGTTTCAGCTGCTGTTGCTGCTACCTTTGGCGTTGTTGTATTCTTATCGAAATTTCATCCGTTCTCATGTATAAATCGCCTACATCTGCCTGAGCACGTTCAAATTTCATTGCGACGTTCATTTTATTCTTTCCATTCACATTCATTATTGCAATGCTTGTTCAAGGAGCTCACAGAAGACGAAAAAAAAACATGACCGCTCGAATCAATAGTGTTGATCGCAACAAAAAAGATCAGCTTTCAAGTAATTTTTAATGTCTATTTAGAGTTGGTTGCACAAACTGATCTCTTATTCGTTTATATATTTTTTTTTATCAAAAGCATTACGTGGTAGTTGAACGCAACCACAAATTCGGTGCATCACTTCCTTTGTTTCACCCTGGTTGTCTGTCTGCCAAACTTCAAAAGATTGCATAGTTCTTAGTGAGTACGCGCAATAAGATAAAAATATTTTCGGTTTTCATTTTGAACGATTTTTTTTTTGGAAATCACCGTTTCTGTGGTTTTAGTGTTTTGCATGTGTAAAAATGGCATTGTTACGCGCCACGAATGAACAAAAAATGAGTCTGTTGAGCATCGCTCTCATCATGTTGTAGTTACATGTCGCCTTTTGTTATGTTTGGCTGCCAATCCGTTCTCTTCGTCGATTTGTTGTTGTTGGTTTCTTATTTTGTTTTCTTGGTTTTGCTTTCGCATATATTTTCCATCGATCACTTACTTTGCCCTTTGTATCATCGTTTCCTTTTATTTCCTCGTTCTTTCATCGAGTCTGCATTTTGTCGAGTCGCGAGCATTTAGGCGGTAACTTACAGTAATTTTCAGAGTAATTTGTGTATGAATAAAGAAAGAAAATAAATAAACTTCATTAAATTTGGCATCGAAATGCAACGCCAGCAATATGGCTCTTTCGACGTTTCACTGCACGGAATGCCACCGTTTTTAATACTCCCAACACACCAACTCATAATAGCAATAATTACATGAGACCATTCCAACAATATAACATCTATACGAAGGAGAAAAAAACACACACTCATACGATACACCCAAACATAATAAATGCGAATCGAAGGAAAATGCCGTTGCTTTGAAAATAATTTAATTGTTCTGACAACACACTGCAAATAATTACAACTTATCTTCTTTAGCATCCTGCCGAATTTTTTTTATTTTCGATGCGTTTTCGGTTTTTCTCACACGTTTCGTTCTTTTGTGTTGACGTCAAGTGTTGTAGAATTAATTTCTATGTATTTCATGGCATTTCGATTCATTGTATGAAAAGAACGAGTGAACGAATTGAAGATAGAGTGAGAGCGAGAGAGGGAGACACAGAAATATATGATCAACATCATTTTGACAAAATGGCGTACTCGTTTTTTTTTGCAACATTGTAAACTCCTTGCATTGTGCGCAGTTGATATTTGTAAACTGCAAATTGGCTGAGTGTAGTAGCAGACACATGTCAAAGATACAATGGAAAAATATCAATTCCAGCAGAAGTCAATCTCCATCTCTATCTCTCTTTATCTCCTTTTCTCTCATCTCCCTTAACTAAATCTCAAAATAATACGTAGATTGATTTACATATATAAACTATTTATTCAAAAAAAAAAAACTCGATCATTCGGTTGATTTTATTATAAAAATTATCAAATTTCATAAGCCTTACCCGCGCATAAATTACCCAAGTTGATTTGTGTGTGGTGCTGTTCAGCTGGCCCTACAGCATCCGACTATTCTGGTTAATTTTGTTAATGGTCGTAGTTCCTTTTGAACGTCTGCGTTTTTTTTCCTCTGTTAACTCATGATCGGTTTATTTCATGGCTTAAATCAATTCCCATTTGTCATTCGACGCAAACAAAACATGAATGAGTTTCATCAAAAAAAAAAAATGAGAGAAAAAAAGGCAAAAGTCACAGTGTGCCATATGTCGAGCGTTACAGTCGGCTTTACAAACGCACCCGAGTACCCGATAAGAGACCAAATTTCACATCCCAAATCGCAGATGACATACTTTTGTATTTCGTAAGCCCTGTGTTTTTTTTTGTGTGTGTTTATTTAATTTCGTGGCATTTCATTCTACTCTCCATTATAATAATAAATAGTAAGAACAAAAATGAACTCAATAAACACTTGAATTTTTATAAAGTTTGATAAGTCGGATTCGTTCTTGGAATCACATGATTTATCTTTGGACATGAGATTTCGGTCAAACTGTACGAAATTATGTGGCATTCCGATTTCATAACAAAAAGGCACAAATGAATTGCCATTTTCCAGACGCCACATCATTTGATTTTATTTTAATCAATACACATATAGCATATTGTACATGCGATCTTTGAAGATAATTTGTATGCTCTACGTTATTATTGTTTTGCTTTGGTCTTGTTTTATCATTATTTCCAAACTATAATTTTTAATTAAAATGCCGATATAAACAAAGATACATCTGCAATTCGGTTATTATTGTAACACATCATATGTGCGCACGTGTGTGTATGTATGAGTTGTTGGCTCATTGCGCCCATTTAATCATCACATTCGCAATACTTGTGTCTTCAATAATATAATTCACATTAATTGTCGTAACCAGAACTAACTCGAGAGAGCGACAGCGACAGAGATATGATTGAGAAAGAATGTGTCTTGTCGGCGCGCACATTTACTGTTCCAACGAAAAGCAGGCAGCCACACAAAGCAAATCGCACTGTGTGAATGTGATGAGGCACACAAAAAATACTGAAACAAAAACGACCGTATAAATCGTGCAATAAACTTAGCAAATACTCGCGCGTTAAACTATTTAATCTATGGTGTTTTTGTTCCAACCATAAGTTAAGGTCAAACTCTGTAAGTAAAATGGTTTAATGCACAGAACCAATGCTAGAGACACCGTTCATTGGAAATATTTGTTTGACCATTACCACTTGTATATTTATCTGTTGGTCCGCGTGGTTTCGCACGCATGTTTTATATAAACTTTGTTTCGAATCTGGCATTACAAATAAATAGTTTGGTAACAAAACAAACGATCGCATCGCCATAATACGCAAGCCTTTCTTTTCACCATGAAGCGCTGAGCATCACAATTGATTAGCGTTCATCCCAAAGCGCACACGGTCTGGAGCGTGTTCGTGCACATACTTCCCGAGATTAATCTTTCGAGAGTTTTATGTTTATTATTGCGCGTGCGCGTTCATACTTTTTTTTCCGCTGCAGTCATCCAACTTTCAATATCTACGTGTCTAACGGTTGTTCACAATTTAATGATGACTTGAGCTCTTTCGTCGAATTATTTCAAAATGATTTTCAAATTAAGGTACATTAGTCCAAGTAATTTACTCATAAATAATAATGTATTCAATCCCATCTCGAGAAAAAAACAACAACAGATACATGAAGAACAGCGCATTTTATTTTTTGATGTTCCTTCTGCCATTTGAATCAACATAATATGCGCAGAAAAACACCACCACCGCCGCCACTTACCTTGACACAAAAACTGATTAATTTGCCAAGATGCGATCAAAATGTGTGTGAGAGAAGAAAAAAAAAGCGCTGAAATTGCTCGAGTGTCAAAGATTTAAATGTATGCATATTTCCGTGGTTCATATCATAGTCATCAGTTAAAATAATAAAACCAAAGAAAAAAAAACTGTTTACGAATTAATTTATCTGCGACTGAAGACGATCTCTTAAATCGTGCGATTGATCGAGTTCCAGCGATAATAATTTACCTGAATCGATATTTTCATTTGTTCTTTTGAGCTCGTTTGTCTGTTCGTTGTGTTATATATTTCCAATATATTTGATGTTCGGTTCGTTTTGGTCGGCTGATATCGTCTGTTGACCGCAACTTGGTTGGGCTCTATTGTTAGCACACATACATATATTTTGCATTGGCCAAGAATGTGCACGTTTCAATTCTAAGAACCGTTCACTCGCCCAAGAATAAATTACGCTGAATGTTTTCCTTTTCGTCGGTTTTCGTATATTATATTCTAACTTCGACCACATCAAATGATTTCGAATGGTATGTGTTTTACAACTGACCGACTACTTATTAAAAACTATATATGCGAAAAGTTGGTTCACAACCTATAAAAAAAGGCTGATGTCTGGAGCCTCAAACACCACAAAAAATAAACAAGTTTCTCTTGTGTGCCGCACAATATCTGTCGCTTGAAACTTTCGAGACTCACAGCAGAAAAAAAAAACCGGAGCGTTTGTTTAATCTTTACCGATTTTCCTTTACGCTGAATCGCATTAGAGCCATAAGATATGCTTTTTTAGTCTACCAATTTTTTTTTTTAATATCTCGATCGCTTGCCCCTGAAATGATATACATCGGGGGGATATGTCGACAAAGCGTGATGAAGAGTACGAATCGCATTCGATGATGCATTCAATAATTACATAGCATTATAGGCGATGCCGTTCGTGTTGAAAATGAATTGGTGCAAATATTTTGTTGATTGGATTGTGCGGATCGTTTCAAGAGAATTAGAAAGAGACCTTGAATATTTTTGGTGTCAAAACCCCTAAGTTTCTCACAACAACCAAGACCAATGCTTGGATGTCGCAAATCACCATTCGATTGATTCTCTTGCTTCTTCGTTTTTTCAAATACACTCTCATCACATTCATGCCGCGGGCAATTGTGACAATTTTTCATTCACATTCATTAGAGTGCTTGAAAAACAATTCAACTGTTCGTCAAGAGACGTTCATGCGAATTGTGTGTTTTTTTTTTGCAACTTAGTCAAATTGAAATGATGAATATTAAATACGTAAATGCTTCATTTGACGCAGTCAAAACAGCTGGTCAAGTAATTCCATTTCCTCTACACACACTTTATGTATATTATAAACGCATCTATTTAATATTTGATGCTGATGTGTTGCACACACACATAACTTAAATAGGACAGATGCACGATCGAAACCCAATTGACGACAATTCATATATACAGCAAAAAAAAAAAAAAAAATTGGAAAAAAAGTTCTTCAATATATGTGCGATGAAAAAAACGTCAAACGATTAGAATAATGTGGAAATGAGCAACACAAACAAAATAGTATGCTGTCGAGAGACATAGAAAAAAAAGAACCGATTACATGGTTGTTTGTTAGTTGAAGTCGTGAGTACAATGAAATCATAACTGTAAAATCGTTTGTCGCACAATCGCAGCAATCCATACTAATTTCACTGAAAAGTCTCTGTGCCGTTTGAGCACACCATTCTCAGTTTGGTTCAACAGTGAAAAAAGCAAGAAGTTACACAAAACAAACTGAGAATTGTGAGATATGTTTGAACATCTGTGTTTACGTTGCTTTTGATCGCGATCGCCCAGCACTTTATTATTATTTTCAAACGCATCGATTTGGTATACATTTGTAAAAAAAATAGGGAAAAAATCGACTCAATTGTACTCATTTCCGTGGTGATTTCAACATTTCTCTCTATCACATTCTATGCCCTTAAACATCATACACATACACATTGTTTTCTTGCTCAAACAGCTTTGTTGATTATCAAATCAATCGTTACACGCTTGTATCTCATTCAAATTTGATTATACATTTACAATTCCATACTTCAATCAACTTCTTTCATATCGATCATCAGACACATCGAAACTCTTCGAATTTTTTTGTTGCTTCACGTTCAAGTACTTGACTCTATGGAAACGTTGTTGATGATTTGTCATCAATCATGGTTTTTATGGCCATTCAATTGTACTTTTTTCTCAATTTGAACATTCGGCGAACATAGACTCCCATTGCATCGATTTCATTCGAACAAAAAAAAATGTTTGTTCAATTTTCACGACAATTTCAATTAGTTGTGACAAACGACAGTGGGATATCCATCGCCAGAAAATACGATGAGTGAAACGAAAAAAAGAAACGATTGAAGAACACAAAATCATAATTGAACTATTGATTGTTCATCATAACCCATAACAAGCAATTACACACTGAGGTGAAGCATTACATAATGCATGCAGAAAAAGAGACCAAGAAAGAGAGAGAATGAAGTCGGTACTAGACACATTCGATAAAAAGAACCCGTTATATTCATTCGCGTTGCTTTCTCTGCGATTTAAGTTTGTTCTTTTTTCTCTCTCTCTTCATTCAACTTCTTTTTCTCCTTCTTCGGTCTTTCGTTCGATTTCTGCTTTTATTTCGCTACATCGTTTACAATTTCTTTGCGCTTATTTCATTTGTTATTTCTGGTGTTGTATGCGCTTACTCTTTGATAGTATTCAAATGTCTTTGAACTCAAAACGATCTTGCAACGTAACAAACACTCATTTTTTCTCTCTCTGTCTCTTTAATCATCGTAAAGCACGATGGTAAAAAAGCAAATAATGGCCGAAAAACGGCCATACAATCGTAGATATTAATATATTTTTGTTGATGGCACATATAAAATTGCCCATTTAATCTAAAATTCGAGGCGATATGAAATGTCATTGCCTCTACGACTTGCTAATAACTTCTTAAAACTCGGAACAAAAAAGTAATCCTCATTCATTCATTTTGTTTGCATTCATTAAATGAAATTATCGCTTGGGGTGCGTTGCCATTGCATCATCGTTAATGGTCACATGCATTTTCATTTTGCTGATGAATAAAATGTACCGTTGTTATTTTCACCTACACTTTCCGCACCTATCCATACATGTTGATGGCTATTTTTTATTTTATTTTTTCATAATGCGGCTTAAGTTATTATCATTAGATGTCTTGACATGTGAGTCACCTTTGGTTCTTTTTCTCTCTCTTTCTCTCTGCCAAAGTAATTTGTTGCCGCAAGCGTAAAACTCGTTTCAAAATCGTGTATCATTATCGCTTTCATAATTAAATCCAGATTTATTATTTTGGAGCAATTTGTTTCGTCTTCACACATGATGCGTTTCTTTCGGGTTTTTTTTTTCGTTCAAATTGACATTCCATTGACCTTTGCGTGCATCATATATTTTCTTCGTACAATAAAGATGTCTTATTATCGCTTCATTTTACTTAAGACTCATCAAATTTGTTGCATTCACTCGACAATTTTATGCGCATGCAAAGTATGTTTCATATCAAATTTCGATTCATATCGAAGAAAACAGTGCATTTTCAAACAAAACAAAACAAAAAAAGTGTTTGCCGAATGTACCAGATGATCAAATTTCATGTGATCTTGTGAGGGAATTTGATTGGTCCACAGAATTGATCACGGTATAATATTAAATTTCTTCGAACAAACATTTTCATTATGCGACGCAGACGTGTCCTTTACTGAAACGCTTCAATTAAAATGGTTATGCCTTGAGGATAGAACTTCAAAGAAAATGCTGGTATAAAAAAAAAATCATCGATAATTTTTTTTTTCAATAACCATCATTTATTTATATAGAATCTATCGTAAGTGCATTTTCTTTTGGCAAGTGGCTTTGAGCAAGACGCGGAAATAGGTTCACATTTAAATTCAATCGATTGATTCATAAAGATTTTGGTCGGATGTGTTTGTGTATGTGTGTATGTGTGCGCGAGCGATCGAGCTCCTTCGTACATAGGCGCTTCAGATCATCGCTATAAAGAACATGGGCTTTCAAATTGAAGCATCCTACATGTGAGCGCAGTAAATATGCAAGAGCTAACAAAGGTATGGCTTGAGAGACAACCGTAATGTGCAGGCAACTAGAAGAAGAAGAAATGCCCACTAACAATCAGCACAATGAAGGAAAATAAAATGCAAAAAAAAGAAACCGGTTTAACATACCATACAATTTTCGACGAAAGCGTTTTGTATTTTATTTCAATCAACAAAATATCTTCTGTTTTCATACTTTTCCATTAGGTGATTCTCTTTTGCTCCACGTTTCGTTACAAATTCTCTATACGCTATGCAATTCGCTCTTTCTCCTTCATGCTTCACCATCATGCGTGATGTATGTCTCTCTTTTTCGCTCTCTCTGTATGTGTGTGTGTGTCTCTTACTGAACCATCTCTTTCTCTGTAGGCATAAAATGCATCCAGAATCTTAGTTCACTGCAGCTAACTAGTGAATGACGTTCATTTGCAATATTATTACGTTCTAGTGGCATTTGTGTGATCTGAAAACATTCATTGTTGTACCGTGTGCAGTTGATAATACTCTTGAATAGCACATCTTGTCAAAAGAGCAACCAAGTGTGCATAACTGGGGAAAAAAAGGTCGAGGGACAAGTTCCAGTGCAAATTAGATGCAAATTGCAATGTAAAATTTATTCTGACGGTGATCATGAGCAGCTTTGTGCAGAGAAACACACTTGAAATCGTTTCAAATGTCCAAAAGTAAAGTTCATCAACAAACTGCTTTTCACAATAATCACTAAATAACATTTCAATCGTCGTTATTCATGGCATATGCAATTTAAGTGACTATTGACCGCAAAATTCATTCAAAAATGATTCTAGAAATCGATAAAATTTGCAGTGTGTCAGTGCCGATGTGTTTCATTGTAAAGGGTTTTCATTTTTTTTTAAATAAGTTTTTTAAGCATTTTCAGTTCGAATACGAAGTATGTTTTAGTTAAGCTATACACGCAGGATGGGACAAGGTCAATGTTGTGATGTTTTTACTAGAATATTGCACTTGTCCCGGCCTATGTGTGTTGTCTTGACAGTCATCGTTTACTTCGTGGGGTGCAGTGTTTACACTTTGATGCAATTGATTTAGTCTCTCTGTCTCTCTCTCTTTTTCTCTGTGTATTCGATTTCGAGCCTATTTACAACTGTGTTTTTTTTCTTCATTTTATTGCAGGACACGCTTTGCAGACCGATGATCAATACCAAATGGCAACCAAGATAAAAAATTGACCTGTTGGCGTGAAATTCATATTGACAATGTAAGTACGCATGGTTTATTCACACATTGCAATCGCATGGATGAAAAAAGTTCTCTAATTCATAAATTCAAATGATAAATGGGCAACAAATCAACACGCTCAATGCATTCGTAGACAACATTCCAAAGGCAAAATGACGAACAGCATTAATTATCTCAATTCATTCTATTTGACGATGATCAAGTTTCAAAATGAGCGCCGAACGCAAGAGACAGCACAAAATGAACGAAGAATGAAAAAAAAAAACAAATGAATTCTTCGCTGAAAAAAATAAATCGTAAGCATCAAATAATATTCTAAGTAATGCCTAACGTTTGCTCATCTAATAAAGTAGAATGCTCTTCTGTTGCCATTGTACTTTTGCAAACGTAAGCGTATTCGTGTAAACCATTATCGCGATTTGAATCTGGGTGGCAATTTATAATAAACACCTTTCTTCTGTACAATTTTCATAAATGCACGATACGCTTTGCTTGTTATAGTTCAGGAAAAAAGGGAAGATAAACAAACATCGAATACAGCTTATTCCGAACTTTTACTCGGCGTCTCCACCCAACGAAGTGCTTTAGTTTGTACACGTGCCATCTGGTTGTAGGAATAGTAAACTTTCATTTTATCGCTTTGTTTTGAAAAAGATTGCCAAAACTATTATTGAAGATTGAGTTTATCAATCGAGAGCCATGTGATTTCTTTTTAGTACGTGCTACGGCAACGTGTTTATTGTTCCTTGATTATTGTTTCAATTATTGGTTTTTGTGTAGTTTTCCATATGAGAATAAATAAGAAGAAGAAGAAGAAGAAAAAACTCGAAGGCAGTATATAGGTAGTAGTTTTATTTATCTTTTTGATAAAATTTACAATCTCAATGTGACTGATTCATTCCCAAGGGACGGTTTATGTGTACAAAATTCGTCAAGTTTCATATTTTATCATGACGAACAGAGAGGTGCCAATAGCAAAATCGTTCTTCTCTCAAGTTCAAAACTGTGAAACATTCAATATGAACCCATTTTTATTTGTTTTAACACTTATATATTCTTTTTTGAATCGACATTCTGTAGAAATTTATAAACAATGTATGGCTTCAAAATTATTAGTTTTAAAACTTGTACGTCCGTCTGTTCATAAGAGACTGAAAGAAAATTTCCATGCAAATTTAATAACAGACTAAAAGCAAGAAAAAAAAGCAATTAACGTTCGAAGAACGAACACAACAAAAAAACGTTCCACAGACAAATAAACAATCAGAGTGAAGAATATTGTACACATTAAAAGCGTTCGCAAGACATGAAATATAAAATGTAAGTTTAATATTATTTGTGTTTGTCTTCCATAATAATCTATATTTGATCCTGATATATATTCATTGCGAACAGATCAGATTGATAAACGTGAAGTTTTATTCATCATCGTCTGGCAGCGTATACGAGGATAGTAAATTCTTTTAGCACTTTATTGAAATTGCTTTTCTATAGTAGTACTTTTTATGATTCTCACTATAGTGTGTGCATCGTCTTTCATATGGACATATATGTGTGTCGAAAAACAACTAGTTTGCACGGGTAGATTCTCAAGTCTGTATGGATAAATGAACTTTCATTACTTATCTGCGTTCATCATGCAACGTGAAAAAAACACACCAAACAACAAAAAACTCATACTGAATCGTAAACTAAAATTCAGTTTTATTACAAAGAGTAATTCGACTTTTGCCAGTCTCAAAGGAGCAGAAATGTATGAATGTATGTACAAAGAAAATATTACACATATGCTCCAAGTAATTGTAAATCTGCGTAAAAAAAATGTCGCTCAATTTTTACGACATATTGTGAAATTTCGAAACCGCATCTCATTTCGTTTCGAATTTTAAAATGGAAAAAATTCCATAAACAAATAGTGAATAGTAACGCTTGCCAGTTTTGGTTTTTATCTCACAATATGGTATCGTAATCATTGAAACCATCTGTAAACATGATGCAAAATAGTTTATTTGAATATAATTTACAAAACTAGAACCAGAACAAAAAAACATCCACAATGCCCACATAGAGACTTACAATCTAAATACTGGCATTCAAAATGCAGAAAAAATCAGTTATTTCACTACTACATGCTCAAACCGAAAACATTTTTTGATGTTTTTTTTTAAAAAACCATAATTGATTCGACTTCATAATGGCCTCGGATACATATATACGAATCTTACATGTTGACAGTGTGTGTGCGCACGAGAACGAATGATGCGGTTCAAAATAAATAATAATAAGCAAAAAGAGAAATAAAAAAAAAAAACTTTAATTGAGCATTGGAATTTATCATTTCGGCACTGACTTCAGCATGGATTTGAATTCTATCTCTTTTTCATGTTCAATGCCCTGCGTCTGCGATTCAACTGATTACTCCTGCCAGACCAATTTCAACGAGAAAAAAAAGCTTAACATATATAGGAAAACATCTTAAGTTATTCAGCTTACATTCGACATTACACAAGAAGAACATGCACACTCTGTATATATGTGTGTACAACTAGTTTTATTTTCAAATAGATTCAACAAAAAAAAAAACATTTTTTGTTTTTTTTTCTTTCTATTTTCATATAATTTGTGAGTATTATACTACACACTGTGTGCTGCAATACATTCGCATCAACGCTTATACGTACGGCACTCCGTGTCGATATATTATTAATATTTGGAGCCAAGAAAAATGAAACGAACATAAGTATAATAATATAACGTAAAAGCGAACAAAAAAAACTATTGAATTTGTATAAAATAACAAAAACGAAAATACGAGCACATAGAATATAAGCTGTCATTAGTATAGTGAAGTTTCTTCTCCTGTGTATCCACATTTATGAAATACATCTAAAGCAATACCGTATGCGAATGCGCGCGCTCGCTTTTACGTTCTTCGTACACATTTCGTTGCGAATAGATATAATACACACAGTTGTGTACATTCATATATATATATATATATACACCATCAAAGATATAAATATATATATGCATGTGTATCGTGCCGTATATATTTTAAGCAAGCACTTTTGTACACTTTAACAACGACCAACTAAAAAATAAATTTTTTTATTTCACTCGCTTCTATGCGATGCGCTTCATATTCGTCTTATCGTATCGAGAGCTAGAGTCGGTTGTCTGTGAGGAGAATAATGAGCGGTGAATGCTTCATATCATGTGAACGTATTAGTTTCACGGTTGCCAATGCGAATGTATGATGTATATTTAAAAAATTTGTGTATTTTTTACTTCTACTGTTCCCGTCCGTTCGTTCGCTTTTCAATGTTGTATATTGAAAGCGGCATTTATGTGTTTGAGTGTATGGTATATACATTCGACTTGTTTAGTGTTTAGTGCTGCTAAAAACATTGAACAAGTCAAAAGGATTTTTTAACGTCGCTTAAAAATATCAAGAATTTTTCGTGAATTTCGTTAAATTTTGGTAAATTTTTCATACGTACAACATTTGAATGATTGAATTATTATTATTTTATATTTTTAATAATACATCATAAGATTACGAACACACCATATTACGAAATTTGAATTAATGAATATTCATTTGGGATTTTCTTCAATATTTTAAACGCAGATAGAATTGATGCGGCTTCAAAGACAGGCGTTCAGTTCATCATCATTATCATCAAAGTCACAAAAACATATAGTTCTAATTTAAAAACGTTTGAATAATGTATAAACAACGGCGACCAACAATGAACGATTTGGATGTACAGTTAATAAGAGAATTTGCAATGCGTCCGATTATCTATAACAAGAGCACACCATTTTTTAAAAATAAATACTTGACCGATGCAGCCTGGCAAGAAATCAGCGCCAAAGTTGGAGGCGACGGTGAGTCATTTTAACCGATTTTTTATTTTGTTGTTGTCGTTGTTTTAATATATGAGTTTGCAAAATTCGGTACACAATGTGCTTCACAATGACATTTTTTTTTAAATTGTTGTTTTTTTTTTAAACCAACATTTCGAAAACAACTGATATTCGGTGATTTCCGTCATTTCTTGAAGAGGTTTTTTTCCCCACAGTAAGAAATAATGATTACAGAGTAAAACAAATATTTGTATACACACAAAAAAAAAACTTTAAAACCAGATAAGCAATTTCCAATAGACTAGGTCGAATTGAATTGAGTTCGTTGTTTTTTCTTCTTACAACAACTAAATTCAAAGGCTTTTGAGCGTCGAATAAATGTCGGATTAAATAGCTCATGAAAAGTAAATTCTCATTTGCACACAGGCAAATTGGCGTTAGAAAAGACGAACGCAAATACAAAGAAAAATAAAATTAAGATCGTATTGCACAGAAAAAAATGGCTATGGAATACGATTTAAAATTTGCTAATGACTGTTTTTCGCGTCATTGTTTATTTAATATCGCTGGAACTATCTAGCAAGTCTAACTATATCCATACGATGTATTATATATTACCAATGTATTAATCCATTTATTATAATCGAATGTTGTACACAGAAAATTGTATTTCAAAAAAAAAAAAGTGAACAGAGAAAGAAAGAAACGTAGCTCGTAGAAGCAAGAGGAAAACGAACAGCACAAAAAAATTAAGTAATAATATAGAAAAAGAGAAGAAATGAATAATAAAGCAAGAGAACCTTTAAGCAGCTATAGCAGCGTAAAACAACAAAAAATAATAATAATAACATAAATAGACAAAAAAAAATACAACAAAAAAATGTTATATACATATTTCTGTATCGGTTATGAACGAGAAGCAAAACACAAAAAATAAAAAGATAAAAAAAAATAAATAACTATTAAATACACAGAGAGAGGCAGAAAGACATACACTAGCACTGCTGTATGCCAGTATGTAACAAGTACGCGCAAAACAATAGATAGCTTGGAAATTATTTTCATTTGTATGTGCTCGAAAACTCACATTAAATCCATATTTCTGCATAGAAAACGAGCCATAAGCCTCAAATAGTTCAAAACCGACGTAAAGAAAACAAAAACTTTTTTTTATAAAATAAATTTGTTTTTGTAAATCACATGTGGATGTGTATGCGTGCATGTATGTGTGGATTTTTGTACCTACAATAGAGCTAGCGTTTGTATGTATATACGGGTATGCGCATCTTTGTTTATAAGAAAACGTGCGACAGTATTGTTGTGTGTAATGTGCCTATAGCATGTCGTCAACGGTGTAGAGGTAGTTTTTCACATGACATTTGCTTAGATTCTACTCCGCATATTCTTAATGCATTGCATGCCTTCAAAATAATACATTTAAGATTTATATTAAAATGACATTGAATCAATACATTGACAGCATCGTTGATATTGGACGAAGGAGCGAGCATCTATCCATGTATAGAGAAGTTTATGTGAATAATAAATTGCTCCAGATAATAAAATATGAGACAATAGAAATATTTCTTATTTAGAATACAAGTGGAGGCGCCCCATTTATTTTTAATTTGCATATGTTTTTACTTACATACCAAAAAATCGATTTTGCATATTGATTGGAAAAATAATTTCGTATTTTTTTTTTTGCGAGACAGTGGTTCGAGTTCGGGATCGCATTAATCAGCTTCGCAATCGTTATAATTTGGAAAAGCGTAAAGTTGATTTGCAAAAAGCCGACGGCTATTCAAATGCACGTTCAACCTGGCCACTATTTGAACATTTACGATTTTTGGACGATCACATTCGACCGCGAAAATCCTACAAAGCACTGGGACGCAAAACACGACCTGTTGGTAGACCACGGCGCAACAATTTTTACGATAATGATTCTTATGTAATGTTCGATGACCGAGGTACCACCCAATATGCAAATCCAATCGCATTGTACCAACAGCAACAACAACACCATCAACAGCAGCAACAAAATCAATTGCACCCAGATCAAAGCGTAAAAATTAAAATCGAGCCCGATTTAAATAGGACAACTGACATGGAAACAACTGCCTACCACAGTGAATATGACACGTAATAATTGGAATTATCTGTTTTTATGCACCCAATTTCTAACTAAGTTCGTCTAATTTTACAGAGATGGCGAAGCAGATGGCAACTATAATGAACGAAGTGAACAAAGAAGCAACAGTGATGGCGACCATTTTATTAATCCAGCATCTTTTTTGTAAATATAAATATTCAACTGATTTAATTTTGTAAACGCATTCTAACGATTACTATAATTGTGTACATTATAGGGATGAAAATGATGATAGCATAACGGGAGATACAACTAAACAGAATGGTAATGCACAGAATTCGAATGCCACAAATCCAAATGTAAGAGAATCATTGATCAACACACAAACAAAAAGTCCAACGATTGATATTTCGTTACGAGATTTGAGGTCCATGAGGCACCAACCGCCGCCGATGACGAACGGTGACATTAGTCAAAATATTACCGCGAGTCAAACGATTGCACTAGATTCCGAATCGGAAATGTCAACGCATGATCAATCTTATAAACATAGCACACCAAGAAATCCATCGTCGGCTAAATTTGAAGCTTTTGGTAATTTTGTAGCGACATCACTTGTTGATTTACCTGAAACGAACGCCTTGGAACTAGTAGAAAAATTCACAAGCGAAATAGTCAAAGCATTGATTTTATCAAAGACAACGAATGCAGCATCGGTTGAAAGAGAATGAAACTTTTTTTTATGCCATATTATTGTTAGAGTACTCTCATTCTTATGTCGAGCAATTGCGATCATTTCAGTATTAAATATTTGGAACGTTTGAATTGACAGCAACATTGGTTTCTTCTTCCTACCGATTATATTGTTATTTTTTTTTTTCATTTACAATTTGTTTTTTTAAAAAACAACCCATATCTTCTTCCAACACCCGAAGAATCCTAATCACATTTTTATTTAAATGTTAAAACCTAGTAATATTAATACATTCATTGAAATATGTTCATTTGCATTTAAATTTACTCCAAAATGTAGAAATAAATAAAGACAATTATAGTAAAATACAATGAGCATTTTTCAGCAATTTTATTTCGTTTTCAGTGTATCCGTGAACCATTAATCTAATTCCATTACATTGGATGCTCAATATTAAGACTACGCTTTGCTCATTCCTGCCCTACTTGGATGGCATGCAAGAACAAAGTACCAACTATACTGATGGAACAAATGGTTTTTATATTGTAGGACGTGTCTGGTGCCATCTGCTATATTATAATGACACATTGCACTAGTCCCGGCCTGCAAAAAGATTCCATATACAACTACTTCATCACAAAATAATCAACTCTTGCGTTCTGAATGCGGAAATGCCAAATGAGAAGAAGACATGTCGACTGGAATGGAAAAATTCTAAATTCTACATTGAAAAAATTTAATTTAAAAAATATTCTGATAAATATTATTTTTTTTTTCAAAGGTTTTATTTTTCACGCATGTGGTTTGACAATTTTACTGTTATTTTTTTCATGATAGATGTTTAGAAATGCTGAGTCAGTATTGACGCACACCCTATGTAAATCTAATACAAATACGAAAACAACTTTTGAACAACTGGTGAAATGTAATTTACACTGATAAACTTTTTGGAATGGTTTTTAATTTTTATTTTTAGGTTTTAACAGACGTTTCGTATCGTATCGCAGAGTCAGTTATAATTTATAACTTATAAAGGTGTAATGAAAGATCATTTACATATACTTCGTTTAAAATTATAGAATATTATCTTCATTCACGGACAATCTAATTAAGAATAACTATTTCTAATTAAAAGCATATTTCATACATAAAAATGATTCGATTTTTTATTCAACTTGTTTACCTTTATATGGAGTTTTGCTTCAATTTTCAGCAATACATTTACGGCAGCTTTTTTCTGTATATAACTGTTAGAGGACCTTGAACCATTTTTCTCTATATGATTCAGCTTCAATTTCAACGGAAAATGTTTCTTCATTCAAATCAATGATCTTAGAATAAATAAAGAGTCTTACGGGAGTAAGACGAACTTTTCCGCACGGTGGTAGTTGCGTATTTTATTAAGCCAGTTCAAAATAATATTTGTTCGATTTTTCAAGCCCTTCAAGCGGCGTAAAGTTCGAGACCAAAATATGTTTCAACTTTGGCAACTAAATATTCTTTGATTTAATAGCAGAAGTAGCCAAGGAAAGATTTTTCACACTTTCATGATGATCTCATTTGTACGACATTTGAAAGTATTCTATTTTCTAACAAAACACTATAAAAAATATGTCTGACGTTAATTTTGCCATAAAAATTATTTTTGAAACACTTTTCGTTACTAAAGTCACAAAAAATTTGGAGTTTTGTATGAGAGCCATGTCTGTATGCTACCTTAATGGTGTGAAACTTTGCACACGTTATTTTTTTACAAAAAATAACACTCGGAGGGTTTGGAGAAATTTCAACCAAAATTAAGAGTACCTCCCATACAAAATATTTGTTTTTGAGCCAAAAATTGAAAATTGTGTATGAGAGGTACCTTTAATTTTAATTGAAATCTCTTCAAACTTTAAGAATGTTATTTTTTGTATAAAAAATAGTCTGTGCAAAGTTTCACGTCATTAAGGTAGCATACAGGCATGGCTCCCATACAAAAATTCAATTTTTTTACGGTTTTTTCAAGGAAACTGTATCAAAAATTGATTGTATCTCAAAACTAACGTCGGATTCGGTTTTCTCGTGCCAAAAAAACCCCCAATACATATTTTTGAGTGTTTAAGTCTACATTAAGTATGACTTTTAGTCGAAAATTGGACTCTTTTTCCTAGGTATCACTCCAGGCATGAAATTTTTTTCCATCAACCAAAGTCGCTCAAAATCTAATGATTTCTATTCCTCGCGACCCCCAATCATCCTGTAAAGTCAGATTTTGAATTAAGATTCTAAGATGAGCGCAATCTTGCTAACAAATTTTGCGTACGACGTACAGATTAACAAAAACCATGCTCAAAACGGCTTGATTCGGGTTCTCTGACCTCAGAAACGTCCAGAAAACATGTTTCTGAAGTTTTCAAAATGTTGACCGATTACAATACTTTTCACCTTACACTATGTGTGCGGAAAAGTAAAATGACCTTTGCATATATCCAATTTCAAGTATTTAGTTACCTGAATCACTCTACCTGAATACTCTTCATGGCTGTTATCTATAAAACATACCCTTTGCTACATGCAAATACAATTGGCATTGCTCACATTCACGGCTGTTGCAATCGCATAAATTGTAAAATATTTGAAATGTGTCTTAAACGCTTTTTAATAAATAAAAATTGATAAACAGCAATAATTAATTGAATTGTTTGCAATGACGTGCGTTTGTGTTTGACACCTTATGAAACCACACACATCTGTTTTACCTTGTTTTCTAAGCCAATTTCTATTTGAATGCTTTAGATATTTTGAGCCTGAAAAATCAATTAAATGAGGAACATGTGGAATATTAGTCGACAATTGACGTATTTATTCAATGATACAGATGCTCTGAAATTAATTGGTCACAATAGGTATTAATAGTTGTAAAAAAGATCGTCTAATGATTTAAAAAATGCTCTAAAAAGAGCTACCAACAGGTAATTTTACAAATTGAAGTCAATATCAAATTCCATGGGTTGATATAAAAGTTGCAATTTTCAATGTAAATTGGTAAACAGTATTGAGAGCACCGAGAAGCTCTTAACAAAGTTTTCTTTGAAATCGATTCGGGGTGTTAATGAATTGTTAGTGCAATAAATTGAAAATTGAAAAAATGAAGTTTATTTTATTATTAGCTTTAATATTATGTGTGGCTTGCAATGCAAGTTTTGACTTTGGTTTTTCGTCGCTTCCAAATTTTGGAGGTATTGCATATATTGCATATCATGAAAAATGGAACAAAGTTCAACAGTCTTATTTTTAGGTATGCCCAGTTTTAATTATGGTAACTATGGTAATACAGGATCTTTTGGAGTCGTTAAAAAAATGAAAAAATCCTCATCGTCTTCATCGTCGTCGTCGTCATCATCTAAATCCGCAAAAAGTTTGGCCCATAGTTTTGCAGCCGGTCATGCTGGCAGCGGAATTGATTTTGGTATAGTTGATTCTTCATTTTCAGGTTTCAGTGATTGAAATGAATATATTTTGCAAATATTCTTCGTTCGATTAGTAAACGACGGTGACGATTTGATGCAAATGGCATCCGGAAGCAAAAGATTAAGTTCATCCCATTCGTCCTCGAAATCTGAATCGTCATCATTCGGTGCTTCAGAAATGAAGGCATGTGGTGAATCTAAACACGAAGGATTATTGGCAAGCCCAAGAAGTTTGGGTCTCTCATTCGCTGCGGGGCATGCGGATGGAAATGATTTCAGTATGATATTGCCGTTGTATGATTTTTGTGTTGAAATTAATTGGCTCGGAATTCTTTGTTAATAATTTAGTGAGTGTCGGTGCAATGAAAATGGCTTCTGCAAGCAAGAGTTCAAGTTCATCTCATTCTTCGTCCTCAAAATCTGAATCAGCATCATTTGGTGTTTCAGAAATGATGCCTGGCGGTGAACATGAAATCATTGGATTAGATTCTGGCCATATTGGTGAAAGTGATTTGGGTATAATTGCCTGTTTTTTTTTTAATTTTTAAAGTGAAACATGTATTTTCGATATTCTTTGGTATGATTAGTAAGTGGTGGTGCGATCAAAATGGCTTCTGGAAGCAAAAGTTTAAGTTCGTCTCAGTCGTCATTCTCGAAATCGGAATCAAGCTCATTTGATGCTTCACATATGATAGCTGGCGGCGAACACCAATTGTTCGGATTAAATTCTGGTCATATTGGTGAATGCGGTACACTTAATTTACAATCCGAATATAGTGTTGAAGTTTATTTTTTGTGTTTTTTTTTTTGTATAATCAGTTAATGGTGCTAGTAATGCGATACAAATGGCATCATCAAGCAAAAGTGCATCTCATTCATCATCTAGTAAATCCGAATCATCTTCATTCGACGCTTCACATATGATGGCTGGCGGAGAACATGCAATTGTCGGATTGAGTGGTGGTCATGTTGGAGAAAGTGAATTCGGTATTTCTATTTTAGCATAAAATGGGATCGTGGAAGTAAATTTTTGTGTATTTTATTTGTATGCACAGCAAATGGTGCTAGCGGAGCGATGCAAATGGTAAGCAAAAGCGCATCTCAATCATCATCTAGTAAATCCGAATCATCTTCATTTGATGCTTCACATATGATGGCGGGCGGTGAACATATCGTCGGTTTAGGCGTTGGTAACATTGGTGGAAGTAACTGTGGTATGTTATAATTGCTTTTTAGATATTTGCATCCAAATGAGTTTACGTTAATATTTGTGTGATCAGTAAATGGTGCTAGTGGTGCAATGCAAATGGCATCTTCAAGCAAAAGTGCCTCCCATTCGTCATCTAGTAAATCCGAGTCATCTTCATTTGATGCTTCACATATCATGGCTGGCAGAGAACATGAAGTCATCGGATTGAATTCTGGTCATGTTGTTGGAAATGAATGCGGTACAGTTGGTTTTTTCGTTGCCAAATAATGTTGGAGTTGATAATTTGGTGTTCTTTATGTGATCAGTTAACGGTGGTGCAATGCAAGCGGCCGCAGCAAGTAAAAGTTCAAGTTCGTCTCAATCATCGTCATCCTCAAAAGCAGGATCATCTTCGTTGGATGCGTCACATGTGATGGCTGGTGGACATGAGGTCGTCGGAGGTGCAAATAGTTTGGAACACTCTTGCAGCGCTGGTCATGGAATCATTGGATCAGGTAAAAATGTTGAAACAAAGGCACAAGCAATGGCAAACAGTAAATCGGTTGGTTCATGCACCGATGCTAGAGCCGCTGCTGCATCTTCCGCTCACGCTTCACGCAATGCCATTGTCTCAGCAAGTAATTTATTCCGTCCAGTTGAATAAGATCTTTGTAATGATTGGTAAAAATAAACATGGATGGCATTATCAAATTGTTTTAGATCAATATCAGACATTATAATGATGATCAATATCAGACATTATATTTTCAGCCAGATGAATCAGCTCAGCCAGATATCGTCAGGAGCTGAAATTTAGTGAAAACAATAGAAGTGACTGTTATGGTTATAATTACACTTACATTGCTACAATCACTATAACAATCACTTTTATTGTTTTCACTACATTTTAGCTCCTAACGATATCCGGCTGAGCTGATTCATCCGGCTGAAAATATCTCATTATAATGACTGATCAATACTCCACAAAAATCACAAAATAAAAATAAAAACGAAATGTATTGTAAAAATATTGATTTTCGCTTTGATCTACAACCTTCTTTGATTAAATGCTACATTTATTACAATCGTTTCATCAATAAATTTTCTGGAATATATTTTACTTTAGCTTCGCATACATTTTTTTCATGTCACATCTTTTGCAGGCGCTAGCGCAAAAGCCAGTGCAAGTAGCAGTGGAAGTGCAAAAGCAGGTATGGAATAAATAATTGTACATGTGTCAACAGAACAACAAATTTTAAAGATAATTTTATCTTGTATTTTAGCTGCAATAGCCACTGGTAAATATATATAAATACAAGATGGCACAATCCCCAATGATTGTTTTTATAAATTTCTTCTGTTGATGAATAATTTCAAGCAAAATGTACAACATGTCGAAATGGCAAAGGTATCACAAAGTGAATATAATGAACTAATACTCAACAGAATTTTAAAATCGATACTATTCAATTTAAGGAGACTGCAAATGTAGCGCAGGAGTGCAAGGATCATGTAGCGGTAATGAAAGTGTTGAGAGCATACGTTCAGTTGATTCTTTACATAAATTGCTTATTTTTGGCAATTTATCCTAATATGTTAGATCAGCACCGCCTATTTAATTCTCGTTTCGATTTCATCGTCTTCTTGCATTTGTAAATTTCAAATAATAATAAAATTAATACATAATGTTCTATTTCGTTTATTTAGCCATTTCTACAGCCAAAGGTATGAAAAAAGCTAAAAAGTATGAAACAGTTCCTATTTATAACATATCTTAATCTTATTAATTCTATTAAAAGCTGAAGCCAAATGTGGAGCTTGTGGAGTTGCAAAAGGTATGCATGGTTTACAAAATTAAACTTAACTTATCGATCATTTAATCGTATTAAATTTGTAAATATTTTAAGGAGGATGTAAATGTGGTATCGATACGTCTGCAAAAGCACATGCGGCTGCAACTGCGACTGCTACGGCCAGTGGAAGTGGACATGCAGCGGGTAAATCAACTTTATGATTTTTATTGATTCCTTTAAGTTTCTTTCGATTGAAATGTTTGCTATATTCATTATTCAAGCCACTAATAGAAAGAGTAACATTCAGAACCAATTTCGACTATTTTTCAGCTAATGCCGCTTCCTTGGCACAATCTCAATCGCAATGTGGTGCTTGCGCAGCTGGTTCCAAAACATACGGTCAGTTCTACTAATAAAATTCTTTTTTTAAAAACAATTTTAAACAATATTTCGTCTGATCAAAGTGTGAAATGAAAAAAGGGACCAAAATTTACTTAAATCATCATTGTATTATTTCTTGTTTATTTTTTTAAACTAGCCGCTGCCTCTGCCGCTGCCACAGCCAAAGCTGAGTCAAAATGTGGAAATTGTGGAGTTGGAAAAGGTATGATTACGAAGACTATATTTTTTTTTGTAAGGACATAGTTAATTCGACCTATTTCATAATTACTTCAATTCACTTAGTTATCCACAGCTTTAGACACTTAGTTTAAACCTAAGTTTATTTTATTACTTCAAATTGATTAATCGGTCATATTCATCAGCACTACTTTGTGGAGTTATTTTCTCATGGTCTGTTTCAAGTTTTGATAAAAGCTTTGTCCTTACGTCCACGTCAAATTTTGTCTTGATGCCACTGGTGTAAATCAAACATTTGAATTGATCTGAAGTCATTTCATTAAGTTTAAAGGATCGAGTACTATCTGTCAAAATATTTCCCCCTATGCCAAGCGAAATTAATTCGATATACGGCGCTGATGTAAATGTCACTCTGTCATTTCACAATAATACTTTTTTGGCTTCTATTCATACACATTCAAAGTGAATCGTTGAAAAAAATATGTCATAAAATATTTTTCTAACATTTTTCATTAAAAAATTTATTAAAATTTTTTTTTTATAAAAAAATTAATTTGTTTATAAATTACAATAATTTCAACAAAAAATGTTTCATCGATTAAATAAGAATCCAATGTAAATAGTAATGACTAATGACAATGCGACACCTACCGTAAAAATGCAAAAAGAAACTTAGTGGTCTCCATTGTAGCATTTTGGTCCGCCATGACAGCATCTTCGTTTTACTTGACCAATCACAGAGAAGCAAAACGAAGATGCTGTTATGGCGGACCAAAATGTTACAATTCCAAATAAGTTTCCTTTTCTATTTTAACGGTGGGTGTCGCATTGGTATTACTTTTTACATTAGATTCTTGTTCAATTAATTATGAAATTATTGTTATTTTTAAACAAATAAATTTAAAATATAGAGAATTTTTATGATAAACGTAAGAAGAATATTTTATGATATGTTTCTTTTTTTTACTCGACCGTTCAAAAATTATGCATGTTGAATGAAGAGCTTATATATTGTCAAGCCAAAAAATGTATCATTGTGGAATGACATAGAGTGACATTTACATCAGCGCCGTATATCGGATTAATTTCGCTTAGCAAAGGGGGAAACGTCGTACTCGCTCCTTTTTCACAAGCTTTATTGTCTTGGCCCATGTATGATAAGTTGCTCATATCATCTGTTTTACCGGTTTGAAACACTTAAAACGAATGTTGAATAATGATTCTTGTCGACCGAAAATGTTTGTTAAATTTTTGATGGTTTCATCAAACGAATGATCTGACATATTTTTTGGCAAAATATAATTAATATATTATGGACTTGAGTACTCATTTTTCGTAAAAGTAGGCGCACTTTCGCGTTGTCGTCCAAATTTTTGGCATCATTGATGAATAGATCATTGTATCTATTAAACCAATTTTCAAATGTTGAATCAGCTTCAATATCGAAATTGAGTTCAATAATGGATTTTGATAATGATTCGACTAAAAATTTCATTTGATTTTGACTTCATGCTTCTCCAAATTGATTAAGTAATTGAACAATAGTATCCTGGTTTTGAGTAAGACGTTCTTCAGCTCGGCGTTCTTGTTTTTCCAATTAAGTTGCGAGAAACTTAATGAGTGATTCATTATTTGGAGGTTCACCACTTGAGTTTTTGGACATTTTGAAATGTGTAAAAATTGCTGTGGTTCTTTAAACTTGTCGCAAAATTGTTAAGTATTGAGAAATACAACTGGATTGATTGATAGCGAGTATAAGACTCACTATTTTGTAATTGACATATAAATAATTCAAAGGTTACTTAATAGTTTAATTTTATTACTTCATTCTATAATAATGTTTTGGGATGTTCACAGGATACTGCAAATGTGGCGCTGGTGCTAAAACCTTCACTTCCACCACTGCTAAGGCACAATCTGCTGCTTCCGCACTCACCACGGCCTCTGGACTCTCGTCTGGACATGGTGGTGGTGCCACTGCTAATGGTAAGTTATTTTACAGCAATCAAATAAAAAAATTCTAGTAAATAAATTGTTCGTTCGAAGCCGTTCATTAAATTTAAATATTAATAAGACGAATAATTGAATTATTTCATTTAAATTATTTTTCTTTGTCTAATTATTAGCTGCTGCTGTGGCCAAAGGTAATAGCTCTGAAATAAATATCATAAAGTAGACGAAAATCTAACTTAATTTCTTTTGTAAGCTGAAGCCAAATGTGGAGCTTGTGGAGTCGGGAAAGGTATGTGATCAAAAAATTAAATTTTCATCAATTTACAAATGATTTCCATGTTGCTCAATAATATTTTTCCATATTCAAAGGAGACTGCAAATGTGGTGGAAGTTCAGGTCAATCGATGGCCACTGCTAAATCCAAGGGTAAATATTAGATGATTATTTACTGCATTTCAAATATATTAATCGTGTTGGTTCTATTTAAAGCTGAAGCTAAATGTGGCACTTGTGGTATTGAAAAAGGTAATAGGAAAAAAGACAATTATGTTTACCAAACTAAACAGATTCATTGCATTGAATTCGTCTTGTTGAATAATGTTTTAAAAGGGAATTGTAAATGTGGTGTTGGCGCTAACAGCTTCATCTCCACCGCCGCCAAAGCGCAAGCGGCAGCTACTGCTTCTGCTGGGGCCAGAGGAAGTGGACAAGCAGGAGGTGATTTGAATATCAGACTTTTCAAAAACTTATGAAAATTTCGTGATAAAAACTGTAGCTAAAGTGTTTATTGAGAACTATAAACCTGTGAATTAATAGATTTTTTTTTTCAGTTAACGTCGCTTCATCTGCTCAATCACAGTCACAAAGTAGTACATCTGGAATTTCTTCAGCACATAGTGTTGGTATAGCCAGTGGTAAGTTCTATTCATTAATCGAATCATAAATTGTGTTCAATTTATATTTTTCGTCGTTTATTTAGCTGCTGCTGCAGCCAAAGGTATGATATGATCGACAATTCGGGATGTTTTTAAATATTCATATTTTATTGTTACTATACTAAAAGCCGAAGCCACATGTGGAGCTTGTGGGGTTCAAAAAGGTATTTGGAGCTTACCAAAATAAACTTAAATGTACCTATCGATCATTTAATTTCATTGCATTATGTTTCTAAATGTTTGAAGGAGGATGTAAATGTGGTGCTGATACCTCTGCAAAAGCACATGCAGCTGCAACTTCGATGGCTACAACGATTGTAAATGGACATGCAGGAGGTAAATCAACTTTACAGGCCAAAGTAGGAAGAGTAACATAAAACCAATTGTAACTGTTTTTCAGCCAATGCCGCTTCCCAATCCCAATCGCAAAGTGGTGCTTGCGCAGCTGATTCCAAAACATACGGTTAGTTTCACTTATAAAATTAGATTTAAAAAAATGCAATAAACAATATTTCTTTATTTTTTTATTTTTTACTTAAATCATTTCTCGTTTATTTTTTAAAATTAGCCGCTGCCACAGCCAAAGGTATAGAATAGTCGAGTAAGCGTATTTTAAAAATGATAACTTTCCAAATTCTGTTAAAAGCTGAATCCAAATGTGGAATTTGTGGAATTGGAAAAGGTATAGGCAAATTCAAATCGACTCACTAAATGTTTACCTCATTGCATAATAATATTTAAAGGAGACTGCAAATGTGGCGCTGGTGCTAACAGTTTTGCTTCCACATCTGCCAGAGCACAAGCTGCCGCTAGTGCATTTGCCTCAGCCAAAGCAAGTGGAAAAGCCGTGGGTAAGATATATCAATTTATAAGACAATATAAACAATTGTGTTGAATGTTATAATTTTGTTGGTTGTTATTAAATCTGAGTGTTATGTTTTTCAGCTCAAGCCACCTCTTCTGCTCAATCACAAAGTGGTGGTTGTGCTGCTGGTTCGAAAACATATGGTAAGTTTTACCATTACAAAAATCATAAAGAAGAAGATTTATCAATAAACGTGATCAATCTAGCCGAGGCCCTTACGACTGGTCTTTCTTCCGCACATAGTGGAGCAACAGCAAAAGGTAGAAGATTCTTCTTCAATTTCATTTTGATATTACGCGAGAAGAAGGGAAAATGCTTTTTACTTTTGAATCAACTGTGATTTTTTTTTATTATCGCTTTATTGGTTTAGCTGAAGCCACATCGTGCGCCAAGTCAAAGGGGAATAGCAACGCAGCCGCCTTTGCAACAGCAAAATCAACTGCTTCATCAGGTACATGTTCATTTGAATGTAGAACAATTATTGTTTGTAAGTATTAAAAGTAAATTGTCTGTTACAAAATGGTTTAGGATCCATAGGATTTGGTGCAGCTAGTTCCAAGGTAATCATATCATATTGAAATGTTTCGAATAAAGCTCCTGTTATGTGTGTATATTATGCACTGATTTTATATGGATAATCGATATTGCTGCATCATTCCATGAAACCTCACGATTTGTAAGACCTCAATCGTTTCAGAATAAATTTAAATCGCACATACATGAAAAAACAATTATGAAATAAATTAGTCACGCTGGCATACATTCGTTTTCCGGTGTTTAAGACAAAATAAATATCATTTCTAACAATGAAAATCAAAAATTATTTTTTAATACGTTCATTGTAATAACGTAACAACAGGCATCATCTAGTTCAACTGCAAACAGCTGTGGAAATGGAAAATCAAGTGCGTATGCTGTGTCAACAGGTAATTTTCAGAATTTTAATTATTGTCAGTTCCTATTTGAAGTACACAACTAACACGAGGTTTTTATTGTGTTTAGCCAAATCGTCGGGAGGTGGTTCAAGTGCCAGTTCATCTTCATCTGCAAGCTCATCATCGGGCGGAGGTGCGAGCTCTTTCGCTAGTTCATTCGCTTCATCAAGTTGCAGAAGACGCCGCTCTGTTAGATTTGGTACCTATAAACAATGATTAAAATATTGATTGTAAAAAATAATTATGTTAAATCCTTCCACTTTTCACATAGCATAATTACAATAATGTAAAGTTGGACACACTGAAATACGGCACCGATAATTCCATTGATTACTATTTGTAATACTAAATAAATCTTGTTATATCAAATTAAATCTAATTCTTGCATCTGAAAATCCCCCAAAAATGTTATCATTAATATCTTTATAAAAAAGCAGTATATGCGATATTAACATTTAAATAAACAAGAGTAATTTGGCTTATTGAAATGTTACTCTTCTAATGATTTTATTTTAAGTTAAAAACACTTCAAGTCATAAATTGAACAAAATTGAAATCCGGATAGCGACGAACAACAGTAGGTAAGTAAGTTTACAACAATTTTACCACAAATCTAACATTTGTAAAATGTCAATTGATTATTGTTAGATGAAATGCCAGTTGATATAATCACGGTGAATACGATTCAAATGTAATTGTTTGCAGACCAAAAACTTATATTTTAGATTGATTTCACTGGGTATTTCTCTGTTCACCATTTCAAATATATAGAGACATAACTAATTATCTAAATGAATAAAAGTCTGTCTGATTTTCTCTTCAAATCTTTAATATTCAACAGATTTTTGGAATTTAGTAACAAATCAGAATTACCAAATACAATGACTCAAATACAGTGTTTATAAAGGACTTTATTTCTTATTTTTTAGATTTAACAATTATATATTTATAAGACATCCAATTTTTGTTTCATTTCTCTACTAAATTTCTCATTTTCTTTCATTTCTTGTCTAAATTTCTCAATTTCTTCTTTCAATTCATTCTGGTAGTCTTCATTTTCTTTCCTACTCTCATTTTCCGCTGGAATGCTCATGATGAGTCCAAATTAAAACAAAGAGGTTATTAAAAAAATCGTTAAAAATTGTCTCAGAGAAGGGGGTATGTGCGTTTGTTTATTTCATTTATGTAAAATTTATCTATTTATTTATATTTACAGTAAAAATATGACTATCGTGCACAGAGAGAAAAAATTTGGTAAATGTAAAGGGTAATTTGTAAGTTTAATATTACTTTACCAAATTACCGTACGAATTCTACCATTTTGTCATATTTTCAAAACAAACGACACGAACAAATTAAATTTACCCCAGCATAATATTACATTTACCAATTGCCGCGTAGCAGTCAAAACATACCTAACGTCGACATATCATCGTATTGTTCACAACCTACAACATGTCTAATCGCGTGAACTTTTGTCCGCAAAAAAATAAAAGCGAAGAGATCAAATCAGAATTGGGATTGGCAAATTTTAATAATTTGTTTATGAATAATACAGAAATCGTCGATAAAAGTGAAATCAAAATCGTCGAATTCAATACGAAGAATTTAATAACACAGTCGATGATATGTCGACGTTAGGTATGATTTGACTGCTACGCGGCAATTGGTAAATGTAATATTATGCTGGGGTAAATTTAATTTGTTCGTGTCGTTTGTTTTGAAAATATGACAAAATGGTAGAATTCGTACGGTAATTTGGTAAAGTAATATTAAACTTACAAATTACCCTTTACATTTACCAAATTTTTTTTCTCTGTGTGGTAAATGATTTGTCTCCAATTGAATTTAACTTAAAAATATATTTTTACTATAGTAGACATTTTGTTCATTACAAGAAGAGATTTTGCAAGTAAACAAAGAAATTAACATGATGTTATACACTGTTGCTGTTTGTTTCGAAATAACAAATAAAATATAAAAAATCAAATTACTTTTTTACAAATTCGTTTACCACTACTACTATATTTAAGAGATTTTTGGTGCTTTTTTATTAACGTTTTTCTTGAAGATTCTATGTTTTGATATCAAATATGTGCATTCGACAACAGATAAAATAGTTTGAATGCTCAAATCATCTGGATGGTGAGAACACACTTACTTGAAGAGCGCACAAACTACTTCTACTTCTAACTTCATTGCCATAGCGCTTCTTTATTGTTTTCAAAGCACCATTCATTTATTAACGTATAATTAAAAATTACCAAGCATCAGATAAATTCATATAGATGAACAAATTATTATTCAAATCGAAAAATTGTCAAGAAACCGAAAAAGTAATATTAATTCTCTTGGTAAAAAAATGTCATTGAAATTATCGTACAGCCATAACGCCATTTTAATTTCTTCAAATAGAATTTTTACATAGTAGTTTGGTTTATTGCTCTTAAATTTCAATTCTTTTGGAAAATAAAAGAAAAAATCAAACTTATTTTCAAAACTGAAAAACGAAATAATCGTCATTAAACCATTCTAGTCTGTTGACTACGAAATTTGATCTAGTACTGCTTCCATTTTGCGACGTTTCGTAAATCTGGTCGTTCATCATTTGGTAATGACAGTTCGAACCTGCACAAGCGTAAAATAAACACACATGTAATAATTGTTGCAACTGGATGCCGTAGGTCTAGTAATCAGTATAGTTGGCGGCGTCTTTAAGCCAAAGTAACAACATAGAAAACATTGAGAACGCTTAAATCGTATCGTAAACGTAAGAATAAAGAAACGAAAAAACTACGTTTTAAGGTAAATACAAGTAATTAGTACGTCGAAATAATCCAGCGTATCGAACGACGTAAACCATGAATTTTCAGTTTATCGCAATAACTTAGCCTGACGTTTCGTTTCATTTCAGAAGCAGAAAAACCATCGATAAAAATGGAAGAAGTGAAAACTTCGATTGAAAAGATGTTCGATTCATTCGAAGCATCAAGTAAAATCAATACAAATGCAAAGCGATTGAGTTATAGTTTTCTTAGTAGTTCTGGTGATGGTAAGTGCCGTGTCATTTGTTTGTTGAATATTTACATTGAAAATGCGTGTTCATTTTTGTTGGTTTTCGTTGTTTGTGCGTGTATAGGAAATCGAAAGTCAACCGATTCACTTTCGTCTCCATCATTGAAGCGTCGCCGAGCAGACGATGACAGTGATATATCCTTTAATTACAGCAACATAAGTTGTAATAGCACATTGAACAGCAGCAATCAGTGGGAAGTTCGGATTCTTAAAGCCGATTTGATTGAAGCCAACACAAAAGTAAGCGAATTTTTGTTGTTATTGTGGTTGTGTGCGCGTAGCAAATCTTTCTGATCACATTGCATTTTTTTAGGTTTTACAATTAAAAAAGGAAATTGAAGATCGTACGCATCTTCATAAGAACCTTGAACAATTATACGATGGAAAATTGAAAAATCTTCAAACTCAACTGGATACGGCCGTAACAAAAAACACCGAATATGAAAAAATGGTGAAATTCATGCGAAAGAAAGGTGCGGCCGATAAAGATGCTTTGGTTAAAATGAAAAATGAAATGGCAAAACAAAAACAACAATATGATGAGATGGTTGATTCGCTACGTAAGGCCAACCGAGATGTGGACAACAGTGCCCGTGAAATAGTACATGACCTGAATAGTCAGATATCGTCACTAACATTGGAAACATCGCAATTGCGAATGCAAATCGATGCAATGCAAGACGAGATCAACACGCTACGAACGCGCAACGAAGAGCTAAATGAAAATGTTAAACAGTCAAACACACTGTCCAGTCAATTGGAAAATGACCGCTATCAATTGGAATCGTCACAACGAAAAGTGAAAGAGCTCGAAGCCGAACTGGCCAGTTACGGTGAATGGAAAAATTTATCGAAAGTCTTTCAAACACGACTGGCCAAAGTAACCGATTTGGAGCGTGAATGCGAACGGTTGACTCGGGACAACAAAAATCTTCATGAAACCATCGGAAATAAACTGTTGCTCGAGGAGCAGGTGCACGATTTAAAGACCCGACTCGAATTACAAACACGAAAAACCGACAACAATGTTGATCTTGAGACCAAACTTAATGCAGTCGAGCAAGAGCTTAAGTTGTGGAAGAAAATGGCTGAAGAATTTAGTTCAGGAAATACATTGGCAACGCCAACGCAGCTACGTGCGTACATTGATCAAATTCAAAAGGAACATTTGGTATTGGCTTCTGATGCTGGCAATGCAAATCTCGAAAAAGCAACGATCGACGATCAAATTTACGAGCTTCGCAAACAAAATGAACTAAACATCAAAACAAATGAAACATTGACCACGAATTTACGCAATTATAAGAACGCTTTACAGCGTTTACAAAAGAAGCTCGCTCTCATCATGAAAGAACGTGATTGCTTTAAAAATTTACTTGAAAATTACGAAAAAGACCTGACCATTTCCGCACAATCATTTGATTCTCATGCTGACATTGAATTGAAGTCACGATTGGATGTTGTCGAAAAATCGCTGGCCGGATACAAAGAAATTTGTGCCACATTGGAAAAAGAACTTGAGGTGGCGCGCAGTGCTAGCATCGAAATGAATGGTGGTCTTCCATCGTCGAGTGAACAAAATGATTATTTTTGCAAAGAATTGGAAAAACTTCGAATGGAAAATGATCGTCTACAGCGTCGCAAAGATGAATTGGAAATGATTTGCGAACAAGCAAAAATGAAAGAAGCGTTCAACATTGGTTGCAATGGCAAGGAGCTCAAGGTACATTTTATCAGATTCTCAGATTTAATTAAATAGGAATAGCTTTTACATTTTATGGTAAAATTCGATTTACAGGTTGTGCACATGACAATGAATCCAGCAGATGAAGCTGCCGATAACTATAAAAATGAAATGGACAAATTGCGAGCTGAGGTAAGATCAATAACGCTCATATTTGTCATAATAAAATCGTTGTTGCTTCACATAAATTTACTCTTTAGATTGAACGGCTCAAGCGTAAGATCCGCAAAATGGAAGACGAACATCAGGACTTGACAACTCGATTAAATGAAACCACATCCGGCAGTACAACCGTAAATATTCAAGAGGTAATAGTAATCAGTATGGATTGAAATGAAATCAATCAGCGAATATCTATCAAATCCAAATTGTAAATATATCATTCTTTTTATCTAGATCAACATGCTGCGAAATAAAATTCAATCGCTTGAAAGCAAACAGCAGCATTATAAGGAAATTTATCGGGCGGCTTCCATGGAATTCCGTGAAGTGATTTACTTGCTATTTGGTTATCGTGTCGATCGGATTGGTAACAGTAACTATCGTATATCAAGTGTGTACGCTGAAAATGAAGACGAATATTTGAATTTCCGATTGAATGATGGTGGCGAACTCGATATGCTAGAAACCGATTATTCGCTGACACTTTCCGATATGGTGGGCAACTACTTAGCAGCTCATCATTCAATGCCCGCTTTTCTCAGTTCATTGACCCTAGAACTGTTTAATCGATCAACGATGGCAGTAAACTAAATGATTCCAAACGTTTATCCATTGATTCATCAAAATCATCCACATTTTAAAAACAAAACAAAAAAAAGTACACCGAAATACAATTTTCCATTTATAAAGTAAACAACCACAAAAAATGTCATAAGATCAAGCAATATTTGAAAACGCGTCGATAAATAATACGACACATTTGTAATGCCGAATGGCACAACGAAATACACCGCAAAAACCAATCCTATCACTTTGATAGATAGAAAACATTGACTTCACATTTATCGAAACAATTGATAAATCTTCATCGACTGAATGGACTTTGAAAGATTCTATTTTTTGAACTATTTAGACTTTCAGTAATTTCGTCCAAAGATTCATTCGAGAAGGAGGAGGTGGAATTGATCATCAAAAAACTATCGAATACTATTGAAAAACATTTGATGATGTTCTAATGCTAGGTTAAACAAGAAACAAAAACAAAATAAACAAATACAAAAATTAATCAAAATTGTGTTATCATTGGTGTTATTGTGTGTTTTTTTTTTATTGTTTTTCAGATTGAGTAAGATTATTGTCATAGACATTTTATTTCATTCACAAAGCCAACAATAAATGTAAAATAACCAATTTCAATACATTTCGAATGTCATGACATAAGCACTACTACGTAAATATAAACATGTCATACACATATGTAAATGTCATAGAACACATGAGTGTCATCGGTGTATCAACACCGAACGACGCACAAATCTGTTTATTATGAGAGTTGTTTTTACACTCTTATCAGTCTACTGTGTAGGCATGTAACAAAAATATTATCATTTTAAAGGCAATTTTGATTAACTGCCAGCTTTGCTTGCTTTGTTTCGTGAATAAAAGTGTGTACAAATGACAGAATCGTAAGTTTGGAGTTATTCAGAGTTAAATCTAGTCGTTTAGTTCGAATTGACCTTTGGTGAGACAACATTATTTTAATCGTTCGACTGAAAATGGAACATAAGGAAAGGGTTTTATTGGAGGGTCCACCACAACGTTTGGAAAATCAATATTCGAGACTATTCACGAAAAATGCAAAACAATTTTTATATGAAATTGTAACTGAATTTGACTCCAAAGTTGATGCATTATTATTAGAACGTGAGAAACGTCGTATTGATATCGCAAAGGGAATTTGGAAGCCGGAATTCAAAAAGGCCGAAAAGAGTGATTGGAAAATTTCGGAAATTCCAGAGAGAATCAAAAATAGAAAACTCGATTTGGGCGACATTAGCCCAGCAAATACAATTGGTTTCACCGATGCATTGTACGCGGATGTACAAGGAATTCAGGTATTTATTACATTTTTAAATGAATTTTAGCTATTGTGGGTTTATTTAAAAAAAAAAAAAAAAAGAAATGAAAATTACAATTCTTTAGGTCGATTTTGATGACGGTCATTGTCCAACCTGGCGCAACACAGTATTGGGTCTTTACAATGTCACGAGTGCTGTGCACTCGATGTTACCGAATGGGCCAGCTAATATTGAAAAGGCGCCAATTTTATGGCTACGTCCACGAGCCTTCAATATGATTGAACATCATTGCATGGTGAATGGAAAAGAAGTGTCGGGACCATTATTTGACTTTGCATTGTTAATGTATCACAATGCCCAACGTATGCACAGCTTGAAAATTGGACCATACTTCTATTTGTCCAAGGTAAGTTTTTTCCGTATATTTTAAAGAGCATGGTTTCTTCGAGTGTATTTAAAAAAAAAATATTGTTCAATTCACCATAGATCGAAGATCCATCTGAAAGTGCGTTATGGAATGAAATTTTCAAATGGGCCCAAATCCGTTTATCGATTCCTCTACAGACAATAAAAAGTATCATTTTGATAGAAAACATTCTCGCTGCATATACAATGGAACAAATATTGTATTCCATACGTGATCACATAATCGGGCTGAATTGTGGCATCTGGGATTATTCGGCTAGTATTATATCTAAATTTGGAAATAATCGTGAATTTTTAATACCCGATCGAAACAAGTATGTGAATGTGTCGAAACGCTTTTTATCGGCGTATATGCGTCTTGTGATAAATACGTGTCACAAACGAAATGCTCTTGCAACTGGAGGCATGGCGGCCTTAGTCCTACCCGCTGGGAAAGAGAATACAGTGAATAAGCGAATCACTGAAATAATCGATAAGGTCTATAATGGGAAAAAGGCAGAGATTGAAATGGGAGTTGATGGTTTTATGGTGCATGATATTCGACTTGTACCACACATGAATAAATTGTGGCTGGACAAATGTGGACCAGCAGACAATCAATTAAAAATTGTGCCAAATGTAGACGATATAAGTGAGAGAACTTTACTCGAAATACCACAGGGTGGTGTTACAATTGATGGTTTGCGGTAAGTAATTTTGATTCTTCTCAATCAAATGAACAAATTAATCGTACCGAGTGAAGAATTATAAACGAGTTATAAACTGCATAATGTGTACACTAGACACACATTCCGGTACTAATAGTCAAATAGTGCAAGGCTATCGCAAGGCCACAATATAAAAAATCAAGCCCAGTAAATAACAAAAAACGTTACAAAATATTATTTTTTTAAATCTTAATTCGTCTGTGATGTCATATACTCGTCAACGAAATGAACAATACAATTTCCGAGCTTCTTAGGCTATTGACCAATCATCTGGTTCCTGGACATTGCAAACGTTTTTTTCACTCCAATCGGTGAATTTGGTGCTATTTCTGCTGCTCCAATATGAATGACGTATGCTTGTTCGCATCGATTCAATGTATTTATCAAGCTTGAGTCGTACGTATTTTGATTTTGAGCGTACAGGCAACACTTTATCCATCATTGCTATATGATGTTGAATATATTCCAGACAGACACTTTGCCCTTTTCCCCTCTCCATTTCGATACACAACTCTCAACTGTAGTAACTGCAATCACAACAAGCCGACCGCATCACCCTTGTGAAAAAAAATAACTGACTGATTATAAATTAAGTCAATTTCAATCACTTTTATTCGGTTAAAACTACCAATAGTTGATTGAAATCGAATATAGTCGGTTATGTTTCAGAGTTAACTGAAAGTGATTATAGTCAACATAGTTGACAAAAGTCAATTTCATATACTTATAGTTAACACAAGGGCATACATTGAAAAATCTTCATACACAAAGTGATTTTACTTCACGAATATGTCTTTGATACCGTTTATAAAATGACTAAAAGGAAATCAACTGCTTGAACAATGCGAATGCACAAAAACAAATTCTTGGAAAAATATCATAGCATCCGATACGTTGTGTGCGGTATTTTGTTTATATTGAAATTTGACCGTTGTTCGGTTTGTGTGTCATAAATACAAATGGTCATACAACACAAAACGTAGAATATTCACACATTTTTAAAACAATAAACACTAACCTAATAAAAAGTTTTGTTCGCATCTATGTATGTCTGTGCTGACTCAGATACATTCTCTCTTTCTCGTTGCATGCTGTTAATGTGTTCAACAATTTTTAATCTACCATTAAATATATAATTTATTGACTTTTTAACAATAAACTAAATTTATGCAACCACTTGGTATAAACTATTCTTCAGGCACAATATTTCGGTTGCCTTACTATTTATTTATCATTGGTTATCGGGATTGGGGGTGTTTTATTACAAGGGAGCAGTTGAAGATAGCGCAACAGCCGAAATAAGTAGATCTCAACTTTGGCAATGGATTCGATTCAACGTAAGCATATCAAATAATTTTCTTCAAGTTTTTTTTACTGTATTAACAATTTATTTTTTGACAGGCTCCAATCGAAGACAGTGAGGACGATCGCTATAATTTTGTTACACGGCGATTAATTTACAAACACATTGATGATATTATCGCAAATCTACGTAAGACTCTGAGTTGCACTACATCCGATATGAAACGTCTTATTTCGTCTAAATATATTCTACTTGAGATAATTTCGTCAAAAAATTACATTGAATATATAACAACGTTTTTGAATGACAACCATAAATTTCGTGCTTTACACAATAAAAGCGACGGATTGGAGAGCAAATTGTAATGGTATTTATATCTTAATCCGTATAATTGTTGGGAAATAAAAAGATTGGACACAAATGCCTTTGTTTATTTAATAAAAACATCTTTAATACAAATAGTATACATTTTACTGCAATGAAATGAATTTGTTCCAGGTTGATTTCTGTAGAAAATATTCATGATTTTTAACACAAATCAGTGTATTGCGAATTATCGAATTATATTCTTTGGCTAAATATTTTTGCTGAGTTTTCAAATGATACAAAAACTCAAAGATTCTGGGCATGTGGCAAGTCCAATTTGACCGTTTGCTCAACAGGTACAGAGCTTCTGGAAATTTATTGAGCCATTGTTTTCGATTGTTTATGCTTAATGGTGCACTGACAAAGATGTCACATCCAGCGGCAATTACTATGACGAACATAAATAGGTCCAAAGAAAACGGAATGCGTACGCTATTGTCTTGACTCAAATCAGATTGGACCTTTCCCAAAAAGTACATGATCCAATCGCTTAAAGTACTTTCACTATAACGTTGTGCTGATAAATTTGATATTTCTACCAATAAATCGTCCTTTCTCTTCCGATCACTGAAAAGAATCATAAAATTAAAGAGATTCTCCAATATCGTTATTGAGAGTGTGTTGAACAATGTAACTTACACGGTTGAATCGTTCGAATCAGATACATTATCGATTAAAAGATTAATCCACATCCATGTATTCGTTGTGGTGGTGAATGGTTTCTGTGAAAATGTCGCCTTTGTTCGAACAACCAACGATTTCTTGAAATTCTCGTCGTTCCATTCCACTGGAGTGCTCAGTTTATCCAAATTTTCACTGGGCAATTTTAAAATATAATTTGAATATTTGTCATAGATCTAGAAAAACAAAATGTGAAAAGTTAATAAAACGCACTCAATGTCTGACTGCAAGAATGTCACACCTTTGAATCACTTGGCAGTATATGGTAAAATTTGCAAATTTCATCGGTTATGATGTCAATGTTTTCCGGAATCAAACATTTCTTATCAAAAGTCTGTGTAATTGCTTTGAGCCCAATTTCAAAATGGCCATTCTCCTCAAAATGACTCGATGCTGAGATGCCATGTAAAAATGTCAATGTGTCACGGATGAATGTGGCCAAGATCCGAGGCGAAACACCGTCACAAATCTTACTCACCAGATCCAAACACATTTGAATTTCGTCCAGTTCTTTGACACTTGCGTCAAACGATTGCAAATAGTTTTCGATGAGTGTTTTTGCTGAGCCAGAGTGTGCGATTTGATTTCCAGCAATTGTAAGAGCATACTTCTTCATTTTGAATTGGTCATCAGAGTTGGCATTTTCAAATGATTTTCCTTGGTTGATATATTCAATAAGGAAGAACCAATTCAACGGAGGAATTGGTCGAGAATATTTTCTTGCAACACATTCAAGGCACTTTATTACAATCGTCGGTTCGTTTTTGTTCTCTGATTGTTGCCATATGAATTTAATCATCGCTCGAAGTGGACTGCGAGCGTGCAAGTGCTGCAATTCTTTTGGTTCGGGTCGTCCTTCTGCCAACATGTATACTCCGCTGCGATACTGTGACATTTCGATTTCAATCAAATGCACCACCAACTCTATGGCCTCATTTAATGCATTTTGATTTATATTTTTCAAGAGCTCAATCCAACATTCGCCAGGTATGAATGGTACAACATCAGCTGCTGTCAATGGCACATTATCTGGATCATTGTGTGATGCCGCAATTTGAATTTGATATTCTTTCGGTAATATGATGCTATCGTAGAGTATGGTTGGTATATGTTGCAGAGTTAGTTCGGAAAATTCAAAGTTATGCAATGCCCGGCATGCAGCTACACTGATTTCAACATCATTGGTGTCTGTGATAAATTTCCACAATCGTTTCAATGCCGTACAGAATAATTCCTCATATTCATTTGAGGCACTTTTCAATAATGGCACTTGTCCAAAGAAGTCACACAAGCTGTTGGGATGACAAAATTATTGCATCAAATTTTAATTATTACCATCAATACATTAATAATACCTTTTTGTTGTTCTTATTTTTAATTCTGATTCAAATACACTTTGTAAAACCTTCCACGTTGAAACGATATTTACAGTGTGACTTTTGCAAAGCCACACAACAGCATCTAATGCCAGCGAGCTGGCCAAGTCATTATCAAGCGAGGAGTTGAGAATTTTTGATAATGGTGCTACCAAATCGGTACCATGTTGGGATGCTCTAGAGAGACGGATCAAATACAAGCAATTAATAAGGATCTTGAAACTGAAACGTGATCTAGCAAGAAATGTCAAAACCTACTTTTGTGAACAAATCTCTTTGATTGCATTTGCTTTGACCACATTCATTTCCCATTTATCAGGTGCCGAGAGTTTATCATCGTCTGAAATCAGTACTTTATGCAAAAATTGATAGGTTCTGCTTTCTTCCAGCCACAATTTCGTGTGCAAATCAACTGAAAGTATTCGAAGTACAGCCGATGATGATGAAGCTAACGAACGATATGTATTAAGTATCAATGGGATATTTTCTTTGATGGCCGTAAATGATGTAAGACCGCGAAGTAATTCCATTTGTCGGTGACCGTTTGTTTCTTTTGCCAGCAGGTATAACATGAAATAAATCGTATCGCATGAAATTTTTGTATTTGCTTTGACATTGGTCAGTAATTGATTCAATATTTCGGACCATATCTCCGACGAGACCGTCTGATCCATACTTAGAAGTATTGAACGAAGCAAGTAATGCATTTCATTGGCCAATTCTTTATTTTTACTCAACACATTAATGATATGCTTCAATGTTTCAGTTTGAGAATTGGCCAATTCAATGCCTGCCAGTTGAACCAAATTGAAGTTCATGATAATCGATGGGTGAAAGTATAGCATAGATATGTTATTCTTGCTCGGAACCTTACATATTTTCGATTCAGTTGCATTTTTTCGCAACTGTATTATCATTCGTTCAATGTCGGCTACCACCTGAGCTTGAAGATTTTTTCCATTGATCGCCAAACGTACAATAAGGCTATCCAATAACATATTACGAACTATAACATTATCCCCAATCTGCCGATCAATCAAAACCTAAAGAAAACAAAGCAATTTATAATTTTCCTTCGAATTTGAGTAGTTACTTTCATTACCTTAATAATTTCAAGTGCGTTGCCCAAATAGAATGGTGAAATGCTATGAATAATTTGAGCCATGCAAATCAGCATGTAATCAATTACATTCTCGTCAAGCGTTTCATTTATTTTTCGAATGGATTTCAAAATCGTAGCAATGGCATTCCTTGGATCGTATCCAAATTCATTCATCGAAAGTATCAATGCGATTAAATAGATTTGATAGTCGAAAGCTGCTTGGCCGTCATCCATATCCAAATGGAATTCGATAACGTCAATGAGTTGTGTGGAGAGACTAAGACATCTCTCTGGTGTGATCTGTTTTGAAATTGATTTTTGAATTAGACGGAGGTCAAAACATCATTAGTAAACATGACTTACTCGAAACCACGCAAAAATCTCTTGAAGTAAATTTTGAGCGGTAGTTGCATGAATTTTTTGTTGCTTCAACACAACTGACCAAATCGATTCAATGTTGAGACTTTGCAGTGGATTACACAAAACGTGAAGAAAAACTGGACGCAAAAATGCAATGCTATTGGAGCGTATACTGCAAAAAATATGAACATAAATGAAAAAATCGTATTGAAAAAGAGAAATCACCGCTATATCGGTTGAACTTACTTTTCATCGGAATGAGTACAAATGCCATTCAGCTTACTGGCCAAATCCAGTACATCGATATTCTTTTTCTGAATCAACAATGTTATAATCGGGTGCTGTGCGGACTTCATTCCAAAAGGACACACGTACGATTCAGTGGATTTTAAATGCCTAGTCGCAATTTGTAAATCTAATAGAAGAACGTTGATAATACCCTCACCGATCACTGATATCTTCATTGGCGTACTAAATAGACGGTAAAATATGAGCGCTGATTTTTCTGTTAACTTATTTAAACATTTCGAAACTTACTTGGCATTTGATAGCATTGTTATGAACATTGTAAGTACATTTGCCGGCTCCAGAACACCGTTTTCAACAAGACCATACAACTGCTGGCTGGCCAATAAACTCAATTGTGTATTGTTCGATATGCATTGCTCTTTTAGAAAATTCAACTCTTCGATGGTGGACTCCTTCTTTGTTGGATCTTTCTTTTGTTGCTCAATTGCTTTTGCAATTTTTTGCAGTGCCTTCGATAATTGTAACACATTATTGTGATTAGTTGAATGTTTTAAATCTTCCATATTTTTAATTTATCACTTGTTGTTTGGTACAGTAAAAAATGTTCATTCAACAAATGCAATTTCAATAATTCGATACTTTGTTTTCATCAAAACTTTATTATTTCTCTTGAATTTTGGCACCAATTAATGTTTTGTTTATGTTATGGTTATGTGTTGGAACTACGTTGCCCGCTTTTTTAACCTAAATGTCATATGTAGTTTTTGTATGAGCTCGTATATTACATGTCGTACGTTTGAATCTATTCTACTACCTCATTTCCAGTCATCGTTATAAATATTTACCACAGGCAAAAATATATATTGAAATAAATGACCGAGGATTATTATTATATTATATTTATCCACTTTTATAGAAAATTTCAATTCGGGTTTTTATTCTAATCTAATCATTTTATTAGGCAAATGGACTCGCTTCTATTTTCAAATCACGTTTTCAAAACTTATTAATATGATTATGAATACGGTGAAGGGATTTTTTTTCACTAATTTTAACTGAGATTGATTTTTTGTACAAAATTAATAATAATCGGGCTGCATGTAAATGAATGCACAAATGTATCGCAGATTCAATTTTTCGAATAAAATAAAAAATTATTATAATAATATAGATTTCACGAACACGTAATATGTTTTTAATCGTTTTAAATCGTGTTCAGTCCCATAAAGGAATTTTCCAAAATGTTTCTATTTCCGCAATGTGATTTCAAAAAGCTGTTTACTTTCGAAGAGGAAGACATTGTTACAATTTTTTAATAATTCTTTCTCAAGAGGAGAAGATTCATGGTTTCAAGCATATAATCAATACCTTACTACACTTGCGCCACAAATAAATCGATCGACTATAATTCTAACGATTATCAAGATTATCGTCATTATATGGAGGCAATCGGATCAGTAAATGCACAAAACATGGACTTAATGGATGAATTTGAAAATGCGACATTATTCCGAGACTACAGTGGAGAGGATCTGTTACAAATCGCTTATAATGTATGAATGTTTCTTTTTTTTAATTCATTTTCCACTTACTCGATGAAATTACGATTTGTAGATTTTCTATTTTCCGATTTTATTCTTAATTTCCACAGCTGAAAGTAAACCGCTCAACGCAAACAATTTGGCTTCATGACATTCATCCCATTGCAACAGAAGCTGGAATATGTTACTCAACTACAGCGATGTACATATACACGTATTTCAAAGCAACAACACAAAGCACCTGGTAATTATAAATGTTTATTGGCTCATCACAGCGGACGGCAGTTCGCACGAGTGACGAAACCATATTAGTGTGTTGAAAAGTCGAACTCGCTATATATACACTTAATATACGAAATCCAGACCCAGAAGGCCTTTCGCCCCAATTGATGTATGGTCGGAAAGACCTTGGACCATAGATCAAGAAAAAATGTCAAAGTTCGAAAATCGGTCCACCTGTCTTCAAAAATGGTCCTTTCAAGAAAAGGGTCATAATTCAGTTCTACGGCCATAGATGGCACTAAATGAAGTCGTTGACTCCTGAAACATCGATATTCGGATTCTAGAGCTCGAAACCTTTCTAACGACCCCCTAATCGTCGAAATCGATCAATCCGTTCGAAAAATTTGTTATTTTAAAAATTTCATAAGAATTCCTATGAAAAATCAAAATGTCTGTCTGTCTGTGGCCAATTTTGCGTAGTTGTTTCTGATCTTTTTGAAACTTTCTGTGATTAAAGTACGATTTGGCCGCCATGTTGGCCGTGGCCGTCCTCCAAAAGTCACTTTCTGACTTTTGTCCCTACAGACACCGAGGCACATTCACTTGACGCACCCCGGACATATGCACCTCGTTGGAAAGGTCTTGAAGTGAACTATCGAATGATGCCATTTGTGGTCCAAAAATTTCAAGTTGGAGTGGCCAAATTGGCCAAAAACCAAAAAGTTACCGTTTGGCCGGACACATAATGGTCATTAGCTCGAAAACTAGCCTTTCTTGGTCACTTGAAAATTTCACCGATTTTTGAGCTCAAGTCTAAGCTATAAAATGCCGCATAGCTCATATCCCCAAAATTTCTTGTCTTGAGTTTAAAAATTTAGAGTATTTTATGGGCCAAAATGTGTTCCAATGACTCTGTTAATAAGTTCTGTGACTAGCCAAACAAAAATGAACAAAATATCGACTGTTTTTAATGGCTATTCCACCAAAAATTCGGCCAAATGTACCAAAATTCGATGCTATTTTCGTTGGGAATTTTGTTAATTTAAATACGAATAAAATGTCTTACATCCGTAAGATGAACTTTTCCGCACTGTGATCCACGACATGAAAGAAAACTAAATCTGACATTAGTTTTAGATAAAAATAATTTTCGAAGCACTTTTCTTACAAAAACTACTAAAGATGGGAATTTTTCTATCGGAGCCATGCCTATATGATATCGTAATCATGTGAAAATTTGCAGAGGTTATTTTTTTCACAAAAAGTTAACATTCTGAAAGTTTGAAGAAATTTCAATGCATATTAAGGGTACTTCCCATACAAAATTTCGTTTTAGAGCGAAAAATCCAAAATATTGTTCGGGAGGTGCCCCTAATATTCGTTGAAATGTCTTCAAACTCTCGGAATAGTATTTATGTGTGATAAAAATAACCTGTGCAAAGTTTCAGCTCATTACGATATCATACAGGCATGGCTTCCATACAAAAATCCAAATTTTTTGAATTTTTTGTATGAAAAGTGTTTCGAAAGTTGATTGTATCGCAAAACTAACGTCATATTCGGTTTTTTCGTACCCCAAAACCCCCCAATACACATTTTTGAGTGTTTAAGAATACATTAAATATCACTTTTGGAAGAAAAATTGAATTTTTCCCATGGATGGACATGGGCATCACACCAGACATGACACTTTACCCTGTCAACCAAAGTCGCTCAAAACCTAATGGTTTCTATTCCTCGGCACCCCCAATCATCCTGTGAAGTCAGATTTTGAATTACTTTTCTTGTTTGAAAGTTATCGTGTTAACAAATTTTTGCGTACAGGGTACAGGGTACAGGGTACAGGGTACAGGGTACGCACATACATTCGGACATCGAAAAAACGCTAGATTCGTGTTCCCTGGCCCCAAAAACACCCAGAAAACACATTTTTTATGGGTGTTAATTTTTCGACCGATTCCAATACTTTACCTTACACACTAGGTGTGTGCGGAAAAGTAAAATTATTAACCCTTAAACGGGCAGGTCAAAATCCTAACGTTATCGGGCAAGTGGGTCCTCTGATGCCCATTTTATGTATCTTTTTTCAAGAAAATGCGCTACCGGGCCTCAGAAGCCCGACCTGCCCGGTTAAGGGTTAAAATGAAATAATGGAACAGCTGATTATTCTGAGAGTTGAATCAAAAATCAATTATCATCTTTTGGGATATCAATGATCTGAAAACATGTCTATATTCACATATTCCCAAAGACGGGTTATAGTGCCACTTTTTTGGGGAAAAAAATAATCAAACACGTTAGATGGCGTTAGTTTAAATGTAAATTTCTATGTACATACGGTGGCGCCGCCCTACACCAAACATTACTGAACTATAGAGTAAGGCACTATTGCATATTCCGCATAAGTTAAAGTGGTTTTTGAAACAAATAAAAAATGATTTCGCTGAAAAGCGAAAAATGAATGCATCAATTTGATAATAATAGTCTGTCCACCAAATTATTATTGGGTGTAGGCATTAATTCCTGCGGTCGAAATTTAGATGTCGCTACTTAAAACTGTGTGAAGTTTGACAGGTGAATCCAATTGGATTTTGAACACGTGACATTTGCCAATCTAATTCAGAGCAGAAAGGGTTATTTTGCATACAGTGTCATTGTTTTTAAATCGATTCAAAATGGATCGCGATAAAATGTTTTTTCGAAGTGCCCTTCTTTTCTTATTTGATTCCAAGAAAAATGCCGCTGAAGCACATCAAACGCTTTGGGTTATTTATCGTAAAGAAGCTCCATCAGAACGAAGCTGCCAAGATTGATTTAAACGATTCAAAAGTGGTGATTTTGACTTGAAAGACAAAGAACGGCCAGGTCAGCCCAAAAAGTTCGAAGATGAGGAATTGCAGGCATTATTGGACGAAAACTCAGCCCGAACGCAAAAAGAACTTGCAATGGAGTTAAATGTCGACCAAAAAACCATTTCTAGATGTTTGCATGCAATGGGAAAGATCCGAAAGTTAGACAAATGGGTACCACATCAACTGAATGAAAATCAACTCGCAGCACGAATCACAGCATGCAGAAATCATCTGAAAGAACACAAAAAACATAGTTTTTTGAGTCGAATTGTCACTGGTGATGAAAAGTGGGTGTATTACGACAACTCCAAACGTAAAGCAGCGTATGTTGATCCAGGCCAACCAGGACCTTCGCAGTCAAAACGGGATATTCATTGCCAGAAGGTTATGTTGTGCATATGGTGGGATCAGAAGGGTGTCGTATACTATGAGCTGTTAAATCCAAATGAAACGGTTACAGAGGATCGATACCGAATGCAATTAATCAAAATGGAGCATGCATTGAAGAAAAAACGGCCACGGATAGCGTCTAAACAAGACAAAGTTGTGTTTCACGATGACAATGCTAGGCCACATCATGCAGCCATCGTTAAAAAAAAGGTACAAGACTTCGGTTGGGAGCGGCTTGATCAACCCGCGTACTCTCCAGGCCTTGCTCCTTCTGATTATCACCTATTCCGCTCGATGCAAATGGGCCTGGCCGAGATATCGTTTCGAAATCCTGAAGGAGTGCGAAATTGGATCGATGAATGGATAGCCTCAAAAGATGAGGAATTCTTTCGACGCGGAATCGACAAGCTACCAAGAAGATGGACGGAAGTCATAGCTAACGATGGGCAATACATTGGTTGATGTACTCATTCATTTTGTTTTGAAATAAATGTTTCTTTTCACCAAAAAAACCGCAGGAATTAATGCCTACACCCAATACATATAAAAAATGTCGCATCGACTATTCAAATTGAAGAATGGCTATTTTTGAACTTGAATAATTAGATGACGAGTCAAGTTCCATTCGATAAATTAAAAAAAAATGTTGTCAATAAATTATGTATCTCAATATTTGGAACAAGTCAAAATATA